GTGGGGGGGTGTGGTGGGGGGTGTGGTGGGGGGGTGTGGTGGTGGGGGGCACTAGCGAGTAGGGGGGGGGTGTAGGAGGGAGGGGCGCTTCGGTTCAGCTTGCATCACAGTCGCACACTCGCACAGACCACGTGCAGCACTGCACCCACCCACACACACCCACACACACCCACACACACACACACCCAGACACACACCCAGACACACACACACACCCAGACACACACCCACACACCCACAAACATACCCAGACACACACCCACACACCCACACACCCAGACACACACACCCACCTGCCCACACACCCACCCACCCACCTGCCCACACACCCACCCACCCACCTGCCCACACACCCACCCACCCACCCGCCCACACAACCACCCACCCGTATCTGAGTGTCTGTGTGTGTGTCTGTGCGTGTGTTTGTGTGTGTGTCTGTGCGAGTGTCTGTGCGAGTGTCTGTGTGTGTGTCTGTGTGAGTGTGTGTGCGTGTGTCTGTGTGTGTGTCTGTGCGTGTGTGCGAGTGTCTGTGTGAGTATCTGTGCGTGAGTGTCTGTGTGTGTTTCTGTGTGAGTGTCTGTGTGAGTGTCTGTGTGAGTGGCTGTGCGAGTGTCTGTGTGAGTGTCTGTGCGAGTGTCTGTGCGAGTGTCTGTGTGAGTGTCTGTGCGAGTGTCTGTGTGAGTGTCTGTGTGTGTGTGTGTATGTGTGTGTCTGTGTGTGTGTCTGTGTGTGTGTCTGTGTGAGTGCCTGTGTGTATGTCTGTGCGTGTGTCTGTGTGAGTGTCTGTGTGTGTGTCTGTGTGAGTGTCTGTGCATGTGTCTGTGCGAGTGTATGTGCGTGAGTGTCTGTGCGTGTGTCTGTGTGTGTCTGTGTGAGTGTCTGTGTGAGTGTCTGTGTGAGTGTCTGTGTGTGTGTGTCTGTGCGTGTGTCTGCGTGAGTGTGTGTGCGTGTGTCTGTGCGTGTGTCTGTGCGTGTGTCTGTGCGAGTGTCTGTGTGAGTAGCTGTGCGTGAGTGTCTGTGTGTGTTTCTGTGTGAGTGTCTGTGTGAGTGTCTGTGTGAGTGGCTGTGCGAGTGTCTGTGTGAGTGTCTGTGTGAGTGTCTGTGTGAGTGGCTGTGCGAGTGTCTGTGCGAGTGTCTGTGTGAGTGTCTGTGTGTGTGTGTCTGTGTGTGTATGTGTGTGTCTGTGTGTGTCTGTGTGTGTGTCTGTGTGTGTGTCTGTGTGAGTGCCTGTGTGTGTGTCTGTGCGTGTGTCTGTGTGAGTGTCTGTGCATGTGTCTGTGCGAGTGTATGTGCGTGAGTGTCTGTGTGTGTGTCTGTGCGAGTGTCTGTGCGTGTGTCTGTGCGTGTGTCTGTGCGTGTGTCTGTGCGTGTGTCTGTGTGTCTGCGTGAGTGTCTGTGCGTGTGTCTGCGTGTGTGTGAGGGGGGGGGCTACCCGGGGGAGCTTTGTCTTTGGCTGGTTGGTAGAGCGGAGTTCATTAAAGCAGAGGAGGGCGCTGCCACGCCAACACCCACTGGCGACTAGGCGGGAGGGGTGAGCGAGAGGGTGAGCGAAGGGGTGAGATGGTGACGTGAGGGGGGTGAGCGAGTGGGTGAGTGAGTGGGTGATTCAGTGAGAGAGCGAGTGAGGAGGTGAGTGAGGAGGTGAGTGAGGAGGTGAGTGAGAGGGTGAGTGAGAGAGAGTGAGAAAGAGAGTAAGAGGGTGAGCGAGTGAGAGGGTGAGCGAGAGAGAGGGTGATTCAGTGAGGGCGAGTGAGAAGGTGAGTGAGAGGGTGAGTGAGTGAGAGGGTGAGTGTGTGAGTGAGTGAGAGGGTGAGTGTGTGAGTGAGTGAGAGGGTGAGTGAGAGGGTGAGTGAGTGAGTGAGAGGGTGAGTGAGAGGGTGAGTGAGGGTGAGTGAGTGAGAGGGTGAGTGAGTGAGAGGGTGAGTGAGAGAGAGAGTGAGAGGGTGAATGAGAGGGTGAGTGAGAGGGTGAGTGAGAGGGTGAGTGAGAGGGTGAGTGAGTGAGAGGGTGAGTGAGTGAGTGAGAGGGTGAGTGTGTGAGTGAGAGGGTGAGTGAGAGGGTGAGTGAGTGAGAGGGTGAGTGAGAGGGTGGGTGAGTGTGTGAGTGAGAGGGTGAGTGAGTGAGAGGGTGAGTGAGTGAGAGGGTGAGTGAGAGGGTGAGTGGGTGAGTGAGAGGGTGAGTGGGGGCCGCCCCAACCCCCCACCCAGTCCAACGCACCCCCACTAAAGCCATCACTGACACACACACACACCCCCCTACTACACACACACACACTACCCCCCTACTACACACACACACACACACCCCCTAGCACACACACACACCCACCCCACTACACACACACACACCCACCCCACTACACACACACACACCCACCCCACTACACACACCCCCAGCACACACACACCCCACTACACACACACACACCCACCCCACTACACACACACCCCACTACACACACACACCCCACTACACACACACCCTACTACACACACACCCACCCCACTACACACACACACACCCCACTACACACACACCCCACTACACACACCCCACTACACACACACACCCCACTACACACACACCCTACTACACACACACCCACCCCACTACACACACACACCCCACTACACACACACACCCCACTACACACACACACCCTACCACACACACACACACCCTACTACACACACACACACACTACTACACACACACACACATGTACCCCCCTACTACACACACACACATGTACCCCCCTACTACACACACACACCCTACTACACACACACACCCTACTACACACACCCCACTACACACACACACACACCCTACTACACACACACCCTACTACACACACACACACACCCTACTACACACACACACACCCTACTACACACACGCCTGACATCACTCCCCCCCCAATGGAACCCATCAACGAGTCGACGCACTCCCACAGGCCCATAGGGCCCCCCTCCCCCCCACACGAGTAGCTCCACCCCCCCCCCACCTCCCGCTCACCCCCCCACTGCGTGTTTGCAAGGACCTGCACCCACCCACACAACCACACACACACACTCACTACACACACACACTCACTACACACCCACACACACTACACACACACACCCACCCACACACACACTCACTACACACACCCACACACACACACACCCACCCACCCACACACACCCACACACACACTCACTACACACACCCACACACTCCTCACTATACACCACCACCGACACAGCCTGGGGTGGGTGGGGTGGGGTGGGTGGGTAGGGTGGGTAGGGTGAGTGAGTGGGGTGAGTGGGGTGGGGTGAGTGGGGTGGGGTGAGTGGGGTGAGGTGAGTGGGTGAGTGGGGTGAGTGGGGTGAGTGAGTGGGATGAGTGGGGTGGGGTGAGTGGGGTGGGATGAGTGGGGTGAGTGGGGTGAGTGGGGTGAGTGGGGTGGGGTGAGTGGGGTGAGTGGGGTGATTTGGGGTGGGATGAGTGGGGTGAGTGGGGTGGGTGGAGTGGGGTGAGTGAGGTGGGTGGGGTGAGTGGGGTGGGGTGAGTGGGGTGATTGGGGTGGGGTGAGTGGGGTGAGTGGGGTGAGTGGGGTGGGTGAGTGGGGTGAGTGGGGTGAGTGGGGTGAGGTGAGTGGGGTGAGTGGGGTGAGTGAGTGGGGTGAGTGGGGTGAGTGGGGTGAGTGGGGTGGGTGGTGAGTGGGGTGGGTGGGGTGGGGTGAGTGGGGTGGGATGAGTGGGGTGAGTGGGGTGGGTGGAGTGGGGTGAGTGGGGTGGGTGGGGTGAGTGGGGTGGGGTGAGTGGGTGAGTGGGGTGATTGGGGTGGATGAGTGGGGTGAGTGGGGTGGGTGGAGTGGGGTGAGTGAGGTGGGTGGGTGTGAGTGGGGTGGGGTGAGTGGGGTGAGTGGGGTGATTGGGGTGGGGTGAGTGGGTGAGTGGGTGAGTGGGGTGGGTGAGTGGGGTGAGTGGGGTGAGTGGGGTGAGGTGAGTGGGGTGAGTGGGGTGATGTGAAGTGGGGTGAGTGGGGTGAGTGGGGTGGGGTGAGTGGGGTGGGGTGAGTGGGGGTGAGTGGGGCTGTGAGTGGGGTGGGCGTGAGTGGGGTGAGTGGGGTGAGTGGGGTGGGGTGAGTGGGGTGAGTGGGGTGGGGTGAGTGGGGTGAGTGGGGTGAGTGGGGTGAGTGGGGTGGGGTGGGTGGGGTGAGTGGGGTGAGTGGGGTGGGGTGAGTGGGGTGAGTGGGGTGGGGTGAGTGAGGTGAGTGGGGTGAGTGGGGTGGGGTGAGTGAGGTGAGTGGGGTGAGTGGATTTGGTGGGGGTGGGAGCACGCCCAGATGAGCCCTCAAGCCCTACCCACCCATGCCCACAGCTCACCACACCTCACCTCACCACACCACACCTCACCACACCGCACCTCACCTCACCGCACCACACCTGACCTCACCACACCTGACCACACCACACCTCACCACACCACACCTCACCACACCACACGTCACCACACCTCACCACACCGCACCTCACCTCACCGCACCACACCACACCACACCTCACCACACCACACCTCACACCTCACCACACCACACCTCACCACACCACACCACACCGCACCGCACCACCAATCACATCTCGTTGTGCGCCCCTCCGTGATGGTTGAGCTCCCGCGGCCGCATCGACTGTGCCGGTGACGACCCTCCCCCTCCTCCTCCACCTCCTCCACCACCTCCTCCTCCTCCTCCACCTCCTCCTCCACCACCTCCTCCACCTCCACCTCCTCCACCGCCTCCGTCGTCGTCTGCCCGCTGGTGCCGCTTGGCCCCGGCACGACTCGTTTGCCGCTCCTTCTCCCGTGACGGCCGTCCGTCGCCGTCGCCGTGGTGATTCTCACCGCCGACGCCGCGCTCCACCACCACCTCCTCCTCGTCCTCCTCGTCCTCCTCCTCCTCCTCGTCGTCATCCTCGTCCTCCTCCTCCTCCTCGTCGCGGCGGTGATGGTGGTGGTGGTGGTGGTGCCGCGGGGAAGAGGCGGTGCCGGTGCCGGTGCCGGTGCCGCCGCTGCCGCCCCCTCCTGCCGAGGAGTTGCAGCAGGAGGAGGAGGAGGAGGAGGGACTGAAGGCGCTGGCCAGAGGGTTAGAGGTCGTTGGCACCGGCGGCGGTAGTCGTCCAGCGCCGACGGCGAGGAGGTGGGCGAGGAGGTGGGCGAGGAGGTGGACGAGGAGGTGGACGAGGAGGTGGACGAGTCGCCCAGCTCGCCGTTGGCGAGCGCCTGGCACACCTGGACGCACACCTAGACGGAGGGGGATGGGGGATGGGGGGGAGATGCGGAGCAAGGCGGCGTCGTCAGGGGTCGCGGTAGAACTCACGACCTCCTGCAGACCGGGAGAGGTAGTCAACATCTCAAACATCTCATAGCCACCGTGGTGATGATGAGAGACACAGATACACAACTCACGACCCTCCTGTAGACCGGGCGAGGTAGTCAACATCTCATAGCCACCGTGGTGATGATGAGAGACACAGATACACAACACACGACCTCCTGTATACCGGGCGAGGTAGTCAACATCTCATAGCCACCGTGGTGATGATGAGAGACACAGATACACAACACACGACCTCCTGTAGACCGGGCGAGGTAGTCAACATCTCATAGCCACCGTGGTGATGATGAGAGACACAGATACCACAACACACGACCCTCCTGCAGACCGGGAGAGGTAGTCAACATCTCAAACATCTCATAGCCACCGTGGTGATGATGAGAGACACAGATACACAACTCACGACCTCCTGTAGACCGGGCGAGGTAGTCAACATCTCATAGCCACCGTGGTGATGATGAGAGACACAGATACACAACACACGACCTCCTGTAGACCGGGCGAGGTAGTCAACATCTCAAACATCTCATAGCCACCGTGGTGATGATGAGAGACACAGATACACAACACACGACCTCCTGTAGACCGGGCGAGGTAGTCAACATCTCAAACATCTCATAGCCACCGTGGTGATGATGAGAGACACAGATACACAACACACGACCTCCTGTAGACCGGGCGAGGTAGTCAACATCTCAAACATCTCATAGCCACCGTGGTGATGATGAGAGACACAGATACACAACTCACGACCCTCCTGTAGACCGGGCGAGGTAGTCAACATCTCATAGCCACCGTGGTGATGATGAGAGACACAGATACACAACACACGACCTCCTGTAGACCGGGCGAGGTAGTCAACATCTCAAACATCTCATAGCCACCGTGGTGATGATGAGAGACACAGATACACAACACACGACCCTCCTGTAGACGGGCGAGGTAGTCAACATCTCATAGCCACCGTGGTGATGATGAGAGACACAGATACACAACACACGACCTCCTGCAGACCGGGAGAGGTAGTCAACATCTCAAACATCTCATAGCCACCGTGGTGATGATGAGAGACACAGATACACAACACACGACCTCCTGTAGACCGGGCGAGGTAGTCAACATCTCAAACATCTCATAGCCACCGTGGTGATGATGAGAGACACAGATACACACCACACGACCTCCTGTAGACCGGGCGAGGTAGTCAACATCTCAAACATCTCATAGCCACCGTGGTGATGATGAGAGACACAGATACACAACTCACGACCCTCCTGTAGACCAGGCGAGGTAGTCAACATCTCATAGCCACCGTGGTGATGATGATGAGAGACACAAACACAACACACGACCTCCTGTAGACCGGGCGAGGTAGTCAACATCTCATAGCCACCGTGATGATGATGATGAGACACAAATACACAACACACGACCTCCTGTATACCGGGCGAGGTAGTCAACATCTCAAACATCTCATAGCCACCGTGATGATGATGATGAGAGAGACACAGACTCCAAATACACAACACACGACCTCCTGTATACCGGGCGAGGTAGTCAACATCTCACAGCCACCGTGGTGATGATGATGATGAGAGAGACACAAATACACAACTGACGACCTCCTGTCGACCAGGCGAGGTAGTCAACATCTCATAGCCACCGTGATGATGAGAGAGAGACACAAATACACAACTCACGACCTCCTGTAGACCAGGCGAGGTAGTCAACATCTCATAGCCACCGTGATGATGAGAGAGAGACAAATACACAACACACGACCTCCTGTATACCAGGCGAGGTAGTCAACATCTCATGGCCACCGTGATGATGATGATGAAGAGAGAGAGAGAGACACAAATACACAACTCACGACCTCCTGTAGACCAGGCGAGGTAGTCAACATCTCATAGCCACCGTGATGATGAGAGAGAGACAAATACACAACACACGACCTCCTGTAGAGCAGGCGAGGTAGTCAACATCTCATAGCCACCGTGATGGTGATGAGAGAGAGAGAGAGACACACAAATACACAACTCACGACCTCCTGTAGACCAGGCGAGGTAGTCAACATCTCATAGCCACCGTGATGATGATGATGATGAGAGAGAGAGACGCAGACTCCACATATACAGCAGCAGCAGGCATCGTCAGGGTCTGGGGATCGTGTGATCCAGCCTGGTTGCCAGGGCGACCGTGCTCCACACTACCATCGTCACCATCAGAACCATCATCACAACCATCATCACCACAACCATCATCACCATCACAACCATCACCATCGTCACCATCACAACCATCACCATCACAACCATCACAACCACCGTCACCATCACCATGAAAACCATCACCATCACAACCATCACCTTGATGGAGCGATCGGTCATGGTGTGGTCCAGCCTGGTTGCCAGGGCGACCGTGCTCTATCACTACCATCATCACCATCACAACCGTCATCATCACCATCACCACCATCACCACCGTCACCATGACAACCATCACCACCACCACCATCACAACCACCACCATCACAACCATCACCATCACTACAATCGTCACCATCACAACCATCACCATCACAACCATCACCACCATCACAACCATCACCTTGATGGAGCGATCGGTCATCGTGTGGTCCAGCCTGGTTGCCAGGGGCGACCGTGCTCCATCACTACCATCGTCACCATCGCAACCCTCATCATCACAACCATCACAACCACCACCATCACCACCATCACCACCGTCACCATCACAACCATCACCATATCACTACCATCATCACCATCACCATCACAACCGTCATCACAACCATCACCATCACAACCATCACCATGACAACCATCACCATGATAACCATCACAACCCTCACCTTGATGGAGCGATCGGTCATCCTGTGGTCCAGCCTGGTTGCCAGGACAACCGCGCTCTATCACAACCATCGTCACCATCACAACCATTGTCACCATCACAACCCTCACCATCACAAACACTGTCACCATCACAACCATCACCACCACCACCATCACAACCACCACCATCACCACCATCACCACCGTCACCATCACAACCATCACCATATCACTACCATCGTCACCATCACAACCATCATCACCATCACAACCCTCACCTTGATGGAGCGATCGGTCATCGTGTGGTCCAGCTTGGTTGCCAGGGGCGACCGTGCTCCATCACTACCATCGTCACCATCGCAACCCTCACCATCACAACCATCACAACCACCACCATCACCACCATCACCACCGTCACCATCACAACCATCACCATATCACTACCATCATCACCATCACAACCATCACTATGACAACCATCACCATCACAACCATCACCATGACAACCATCACCACACATCACCACCATCACCACCCTCACCTTGATGGAGCGATCGGTCATCGTGTGGTCCAGCCTGGTTGCCAGGGCGACCGTGCTCCATCACTACCATCGTCACCATCACAACCCTCACCATCACAACCATCACAACCATCACCATGACAACCATCACCACCATCACAACCGTCATCACAACCATCACCACCATCACCATCACAACCATCACCATGACAACCATCACCATCACCACCATCACCACCCTCACCTTGATGGAGCGATCGGTCATCGTGTGGTCCAGCCTGGTTGCCAGGGCGACGGCTCTCTCTGAGCTCGAGGGATCCAGGTAGTACATCATCTTAGCACCTGGAGCAAACCGCAGCGGTCAAAACAACAACAACCAACAACAACAACAACCAACAACAACCAACAACAACAGCCGCCGTTCGCCAACAAGCGGCGATGACGTCACCCACCACGGCGCCCACCGTGCCAGGCTAGGTGCACGTTGAGGCGCGACGCGTCAAAGTGTCGAACGCCCGCCGGCAGGAGGTCACGGGACAGACCCAGCAGGTGCCACGGGTTTGTACTGCTGTGCCAGGCTAGGTGCATGAGGAGGTGGTCACGGGACAGACCCTGCAAGTGCCACGGGTTTGTACTGCTGTGCCAGGCTAGGTGCATGAGGAGGTCGTCACGTGACAGACCCTGCAGGTGCCACGGGTTGACTGCTGTGCCAGGCTAGGTGCATGAGGAGGTCGTCACGTGACAGACCCTGCAGGTGCCACGGGTTGACTGCTGTGCCAGGCTAGGTGCATGAGGAGGAGGTGACGGGACAGACCCAGCAGGTGCCATGGGTTGACTGCTGTGCCAGGCTAGGTGCATGAGGTGGTCACGTGACAGACCCTGCAGGTGCCATGGGTTGACTGCCTGTGCCAGGCTAGGTGCATGAGGAGGTGGTCACGTGACAGACCCAGCAGGTGCCATGGGTTGACTGCTGTGCCAGGCTAGGTGCATGAGGAGGTGGTCACGTGACAGACCCAGCAGGTGCCATGGGTTGCCTGCTGTGCCAGGCTAGGTGCATGAGGAGGTGGTCACGGGACAGACCCTGCAGGTGCCACGGGTTTGTACTGCTGTGCCAGGCTAGGTGCATGAGGAGGAGGTCACGGGACAGACCCAGCAGGTGCCACGGTTTGTACTGCTGTGCCAGGCTAGGTGCATGAGGAGGTGGTCACGTGACAGACCCAGCAGGTGCCATGGGTTGACTGCTGTGCCAGGCTAGGTGCATGAGGAGGTCACGTGACAGACCCAGCAGGTGCCATGGGTTGACTGCTGTGCCAGGCTAGGTGCATGAGGAGGTGGTCACGGGACAGACCCTGCAGGTGCCATGGGTTGCCTGCTGTGCCAGGCTAGGTGCATGAGGAGGTGGTGACGGGACAGACCCAGCAGGTGCCATGGGTTGACTGCCGTGCCAGGCTAGGTGCATGAGGAGGAGGTCACGTGACAGACCCAGCAGGTGCCATGGGTTGACTGCTGTGCCAGGCTAGGTGCATGAGGAGGTCACGTGACAGACCCTGCAGGTGCCATGGGTTTGTACTGCTGTGCCAGGCTAGGTGCATGAGGAGGTCACGGGACAGACCCAGCAAGTGCCATGGGTTGCCTGCTGTGCCAGACTAGGTGCATGAGGAGGTGGTGACGGGACAGACCCAGCAGGTGCCACGGGTTGACTGCTGTGCCAGACTAGGTGCATGAGGTGGTCACGTGACAGATCCAGCAGGTGCCATGGGTTGACTGCTGTGCCAGGCTAGGTGCATGAGGTCACGGGACAGACCCTGCAGGTGCCATGGGTTGACTGCTGTGCCAGGCTAGGTGCATGAGGAGGAGGTCACGGGACAGACCCAGCAAGTGCCACGGGTTGACTGCTGTGCCAGACTAGGTGCATGAGGTCACGGGACAGACCCAGCAGGTGCCATGGGTTGACTGCTGTGCCAGGCTAGGTGCATGAGGTCACGGGACAGACCCAGCAGGTGCCATGGGTTGACTGCTGTGCCAGGCTAGGTGCAGGAGGAGGAGGTCACATGACAGACCCAGCAGGTGCCATGAGTGTAGTAGTGAGTGGTGAGTGTAGTGGTGGTGAGTGTAGTAGCGGTGAGTGTAGTGGTGAGTGTAGTAGCGGTGAGTGTAGTGGTGAGTGTAGTAGTGAGTGGTGAGTGTAGTGGTGGTGAGTGTAGTAGCGGTGAGTGTAGTGGTGAGTGTAGTAGCGGTGAGTGTAGTGGTGAGTGTAGTAGTGAGTGGTGAGTGTAGTGGTGGTGAGTGTAGTAGCGGTGAGTGTAGTGGTGAGTGTAGTAGTGAGTGGTGAGTGTAGTAGCGGTGAGTGTAGTGGTGAGTGTAGTAGTGAGTGGTGAGTGTAGTGGTGGTGAGTGTAGTAGCGGTGAGTGTAGTGGTGAGTGTAGTAGTGAGTGGTGAGTGTAGTAGCGGTGAGTGTAGTGGTGAGTGTAGTAGTGAGTGGTGAGTGTAGTGGTGGTGAGTGTAGTAGCGGTGAGTGTAGTGGTGAGTGTAGTAGTGAGTGGTGAGTGTAGTAGCGGTGAGTGTAGTGGTGAGTGTAGTAGTGAGTGGTGAGTGTAGTGGTGGTGAGTGGCGGTGAGCGTAGTAGTGAGTGTAGTGGTGGTGAGTGCAGTAGTGAGTGGTGAGTGTCGTGGTGGTGAGTGTAGTAGTGGTGACTGTAGTAGTGAGTGCTGAGTGTCGTGGTGGTGAGTGGTGAGCGTAGTAGTGAGTGGTGAGTGTCGTGGTGGTGAGTGTAGTAGTGAGTGTAGTAGTGAGTGGTGAGTGTAGTGGTGGTGAGTGGCGGTGAGCGTAGTAGTGAGTGTAGTAGTGAGTGGTGAGTGTAGTAGTGAGTGTAGTAGTGAGTGGTGAGTGTAGTAGTGAGCGTATTGGTGAGTGGTGAGTGTCGTGGTGGTGAGTGGTGAGTGTAGTGGTGGTGAGTGTAGTAGTAGTGAGTGTAGTAGTGAGTGGTGAGCATAGTGGTGAGTGGTGAGTGTAGTGGTGGTGAGTGTAGTAGTAGCGAGTGTAGTAGTGAGTGTAATGGTGAGTGTAGTAGTGTAGTAGTAGTGAGCGTAGTGGTGAGTGGTGAGTGTAGTGGTGGTGAGTGTAGTAGTAGTGAGTGTAGTAGTGAGTGGTGAGCGTAGTGGTGAGTGGTGAGTGTAGTGGTGGTGAGTGTAGTAGTAGTGAGTGTAGTAGTGAGTGTAATGGTGAGTATAGCAGTAGTGAGCGTAGTGGTGAGTGGTGTCGTGGTGGTGAGTGTAGTGGTGGTGAGTGTGGTAGTGTAGTAGTAGTGAGCGTAGTGGTGAGCGGTGAGTGTCGTGGTGGTGAGCGTAGTGGCGAGTGTAGTAGTGTAGTAGTAGTGAGCGTAGTGGTGAGTGTCGTGGTGGTGAGCGTAGTGGTGAGTGTAGTAGTGTAGTAGTAGTGAGCGTAGTGGTGAGTGTCATGGTGGTGAGTGTAGTGGCGAGTGTAGTAGTGTAGTAGTAGTGAGCGTAGTGGTGAGTGTAGTGGTGGTGAGCGTAGTGGTGAGTGTAGTAGTGTAGTAGTAGTGAGCGTAGTGGTGAGTGTCATGGTGGTGAGTGTAGTGGCGAGTGTAGTAGTGTAGTAGTAGTGAGCGTAGTGGTGAGTGTCATGGTGGTGAGTGTAGTGGCGAGTGTAGTAGTGTAGTAGTAGTGAGCGTAGTGGTGAGTGTAGTGGTGGTGAGCGTAGTGGTGAGTGTAGTAGTGTAGTAGTAGTGAGCGTAGTGGTGAGTGTCATGGTGGTGAGTGTAGTGGCGAGTGTAGTAGTGTAGTAGTAGTGAGCGTAGTGGTGAGTGTAGTGGTGGTGAGTGTAGTAGTGTAGTAGTAGTGAGTGTAGTAGTAGTGAGTGTAGTAGTAGTAGTGAGTGTAGTAGTGTAGTAGTAGTGAGTGTAGTAGTGAGTGTAATGGCGAGTGTAGTAGTAGTGTAGTAGTAGTGAGCGTAGTAGTGAGTGTAGTAGTGAGTGTAATGGTGAGTGTAGTAGTGTAGTAGTAATGAGCGTAGTGGTGAGTGTAGTAGTAGTGAGTGTAGTAGTGAGTGTAGTAGTAGTGAGTGTAGTAGTAGTGAGTGTAGTAGTAGTAGTGAGTGTAGTAGTAGTAGTGAGTGTAGTAGTAGTAGTAGTAGTGTAGTAGTAGTGAGTGTAGTAATGAGTGTAGTAATGAGTGGTGAGTGTAGTGGTGGCAAGTGTAGTGTAGTGGTAGTGAGCGTAGTGGTGAGTGTCGTGGTGGTGAGTGTAGTAGTAGTGAGTGTAGTGGCGAGTGTCGCGGTGGTGAGTGGTGAGTGTAGTGGCGGTGAGTGTAGTAGTAGTGAGTGTGTAAGTGAGTGGTGAGTGTCGCGGTGGCGAGTGTAGTAGTGTAGTAGTAGTGAGCGTAGTGGTGAGTGTAGTGGTGAGTGTAGTGGTGGTGAGTGTAGTAGTAGTGAGCGTAGTGGTGAGTGTAGTGGTGAGTGTAGTGGTGGTGAGTGTAGTAGTAGTGAGCGTAGTGGCGAGTGTCGCGGTGGTGAGTGGCGGCGAGCGTAGCAGTAGTGAGTGTAGTAGTGAGTGGAGAGTGTAGTGGTGGCGAGTGTAGTAGTAGTGTAGTAGTAGTAGTGAGTGTAGTGGTGGCGAGTGTGGTAGTGTAGTAGTAGTGAGTGTAGTAGTGAGTGTAATGGTGAGTGTAGTAGTAGTGTAGTAGTAGTGAGCGTAGTGGTGAGTGTAGTGGTGGTGAGTGTAGTAGTAGTGAGTGTAGTGGTGAGTGTAATGGTGAGTGTAGTAGTAGTGTAGTAGTAGTGAGCGTAGTAGTGAGTGTCGCGGTGGTGAGTGGTGAGTGTAGTGGCGGTGAGTGTAGTAGTAGTGAGTGTGTAAGTGAGTGGTGAGTGTCGCGGTGGTGAGTGTAGTGGCGAGTGTAGTAGTAGTGAGCGTAGTGGTGAGTGGTGAGTGTAGTGGTGGCGAGTGTAGTAGTGTAGTAGTAGTGAGCGTAGTGGTGAGTGTAGTGGTGAGTGTAGTGGTGGTGAGTGTAGTAGTAGTGAGCGTAGTGGTGAGTGTAGTGGTGAGTGTAGTAGTAGTGAGCGTAGTGGTGAGTGTAGTGGTGAGCGTAGTGGTGAGTGTAGTGGTGAGTGTAGTAGTAGTGAGCGTAGTGGCGAGTGTCGCGGTGGTGAGTGGTGAGTGTAGTGGTGGTGAGTGTAGTAGTAGTGAGTGTAGTAGTGAGTGTAATGGTGAGTGTAGTAGTAGTGTAGTAGTAGTGAGTGTGTAAGTGAGTGGTGAGTGTAGTGGTGGTGAGTGTAGTAGTAGTGAGTGTAGTAGTGAGTGTAATGGTGAGTGTAGTAGTAGTGTAGTAGTAGTGAGTGTGTAAGTGAGTGGTGAGTGTAGTGGTGGTGAGTGTAGTAGTAGTGAGCGTAGTGGTGAGTGTAGTGGTGGTGAGTGTAGTGGTGGCGAGTGTAGCAGTGAGTGTAGTAGTGAGTGGCGAGTGTCGCGGTGGTGAGTGTAGTAGTAGTGAGCGTCGTGGTGAGTGTAGTGGCGGTGAGTGTAGTAGTAGTGTAGTAGTAGTGAGTGTCGCGGTGGTGAGTGGTGAGTGTAGTGGTGGTGAGTGTAGTAGTAGTGAGTGTGTAAGTGAGTGGTGAGTGTCGCGGTGGTGAGTGTAGTAGTAGTGAGTGTAGTGGCGAGTGTCGCGGTGGTGAGTGGTGAGTGTAGTGGCGGTGAGTGTAGTAGTAGTGAGTGTGTAAGTGAGTGTAATGGTGAGTGTAGTAGTAGTGTAGTAGTAGTGAGCGTAGTGGTGAGTGGCGAGTGTCGCGGTGGTGAGTGGCGGCGAGCGAGTCACCGGCGAGGCGGTGCCGCACGGAGTTGGGGTGGCGAGCGAGGAAATTGGCGTTGACGGCGGCGGCGTCGCTGGAGCCCACGAGCAGCGGCAGCTCCTGGTGGAGCACCGTGGAGACGGCACCCCCAGCACCCTCACGGCACTGCCACACTGCACACACACACACACACATTGAGACATAGAGACACACAAAGAGACATTGAGACACACACACACACACACAGAGACATAGAGACACACACATAGAGACATTGAGACACACACACAGAGACACATAGACACACACATAGACATTGAGACACACACATTGAGACACACACAGACACACACAGAGACACACACAGACACACACAGAGACACACAGACACACACACACAGACACACACACACACAGAGAGACACACACAGAGACATAGAGACACACACATAGAGACATTGAGACACACACATAGAGACATTGAGACACACACATAGAGACACACACACACACAGAGAGACACACACACACACACAGACACACACACACACAGACACACACACACACACAGAGACACACACACAGAGACATAGAGACACACACATAGAGACACACACAGACACACAGACACACACACAGACACACAGAGACACACACACACACAGACACACACACACACACACAGAGACACACATAGAGACACACACAGACATAGAGACACACATAGAGACACACACAGAGACACACACAGACATAGAGACACAGAGACACACACAGACATAGAGACACACATAGAGACACACACACACATAGAGACACACACACACATAGAGACATACACACACACACACACACAGAGACACACACACACAGACATAGAGACACACACACAGACACACAGAGACACACACACACACAGACACACACACAGACACACACACACAGAGACACACACACACACACATAGACACACACAGACACACATAGACACACACAGACACACACACACAGACACACACACACATAGAGAGACATTGAGACACACACATAGAGACACACATAGACACACACACAGACACACACACACACACACATAGAGACACACACACACACAGACACACACAGACACACACACACAGAGACACACACACACAGACACACACAGACACACACACACACAGAGAGACACACACACACACAGACACACACACACACACAGAGAGACACACAGACACACACAGAGACACACACACACATAGACATTGAGACACACACATAGACACAGAGAGACATTGAGACACACATAGAGACACACACACACACACACAGAGACACACACATAGAGACACACATAGACACACACACACAGACACACACACACAGAGACACACACAGAGACACACATAGACATAGAGACACACACACACAGACATAGAGACATTGAGACACACACACAGAGACATAGATACACACACACAGAGACACACACACAGACACACAGAGACACACACACACACAGAGAGACACACACACACACAGACACACACACACATAGAGACATACACACACACACAGAGACACACACAGAGACACACACAGACATAGAGACACACACACACAGACATAGAGACATTGAGACACACACACATACACACACACACAGACACACACACACACACAGACACACAGAGACACACACACACACACAGAGACACACACACACAGACACACACACACATAGAGACATACACACACACACAGAGACACACACAGAGACACACAAAGACATAGAGACACACACACACAGACATAGAGACATTGAGACACACACACAGAGACATAGATACACACACACACACAGAGACACACACACAGACACACATAGAGACACACACAGAGACACACATAGAGACACACACACAGAGACAGAGACACACATAGAGACATAGAGACACACACACAGAGAGACACACATAGACACACACAGAGACACACACATAGAGACACACACAGACACACAGAGACACACACAGACACACACATAGAGACACACATAGAGACACACACAGACACACACACACACAGAGACACACACACACATAGAGACATACACACACATAGAGACATACACACACACAATGACACACATAGAGACACACACAGACATAGAGACACACATAGAGACACACACAGAGACACACAGAGACACACACACACATAGAGACACACACACACATAGAGACACACACACACACACACAGAGAGACATAGAGACACACACACACATAGAGACACACACACACAGACATAGAGACACACACACACAGACACACACACACACACAGACATAGAGACACACATAGAGACACACACACACAGACATAGAGACATAGAGACACACACACACAGAGACATAGAGACACACATAGAGACACACACACACACAGACACATTGAGACACACATAGAGACACACACAGAGACACACACAGACATAGAGACACACATAGAGACACACACAGAGACACACAGAGACACACACACACATAGAGACACACACAGAGACACACACACACAGACATAGAGACACATACAGACACACACACACACATAGAGACACACACATATAGAGACACACACAGACATAGAGACACACACACACAGACACAGACACACACACACAGAGACACACACACACAGACACACACACACATAGAGACACACACACACAGACATAGAGACACACATAGAGACACACACAGAGACACACACAGACATAGAGAAACACACACACACAGAGACACACACACACACAGACACACAGACACACACACACACAGACACACAGACATAGAGACACACACACACAGACACACACACACACAGAGACATAGAGACACACACACAGACACACACAGATAGAGACACACACACAGACACAGACACACACAGACACACACACAGACACACATAGAGACACACACACAGACAGAGACACACACACAGACACACACACACAGACACACACACACAGACACACACAGACACACACATAGAGACACACACACAGACATAGAGACACACACACAGACACACACATAGAGACACACACACACAGACACACACACACACAGACACACACACACACACAGACACACAGACACACACATAGAGACATACACACACAGAGACACACACAGACACACACACACACACAGACACACACACACACAGACACACACAGACACACACACAGAGACATAGAGACACACACACACAGAGACACACACACACAGACACACACATAGAGACATACACACACAGAGACACACACAGACACACCACACACAGACACACACACACAGAGACACACAAACACATAGAGACACTCACACAGAGACACACACACAGACACACACACAGACACACACACAGAGACATAGAGACATAGAGACACACACAGACACACACACACACAGACACACACAGACACACACACACAGAGACATAGAGACACACACACACAGAGACACACACACACACAGAGACACACACACACACACAGAGACACACACAGAGACATAGAGACACACACACAGAGACACACACACACATAGAGACACACACACACAGACACACACACACACACACAGACACATACAGACACACACATAGAGACATACACACACAGAGACACACACAGACACACACACACAGACAAACACATAGAGACACTCACACAGAGACACACACACACACAGACACACACACACAGACACACACACAGAGACATAGAGACACACACAGACACACACACAGACACACACACACACAGACACACACACAGACACACAGACACACACACAGAGACACACAGAGACATGCACGCACACACACAGAGACATGCACGCACACACACAGAGACACGCGCGCACACACAGAGACACACACAGAGACACACAGACACGCACAGAGACACAGACACGCACGCACACACACAGAGACACGCACGCACACACACACAGAGACACACACGCACACACACGCACAGATACACACACACGCACAGAGACACAGAGACACACACACGCAGAGACACACAGAGACACGCGTGCACGCACACACACGCAGAGACATGCACACGCAGAGACACGCACACACACAGAGACACACACACGCAAAGACACGCACACAGAGACACGCGCGCACAGACACGCAGTCACACGCACGCACAGACAGATAAACAGAGACACGCACGCAGAGATACACAGACATAAGACACGAGTGGTGAGGAGCGAGTGGTGAGTGAGTGGTGAGCGAGTGGTGGTGAGCGAGTGGTGAGGAGCGAGTGGTGAGCGAGTGGTGTGCGAGCGAGTGAGTGGTGAGCAAGTGGTGGTGAGCGAGCGGTGAGGAGCGAGCGGTGAGGAGCGAATGGTGAGCGAGTGGTGAGCGAGCGGTGAGGAGCAAGCGGTGAGGAGCGAGCGGTGAGGAGCGAGCGGTGAGGAGCGAGCGGTGAGGAGCGAGCGGTGAGGAGCGAGTGGTGAGGAGCGAGTGGTGAGTGAGTGGTGAGCGAGTGGTGGTGAGCGAGTAGTGAGGAGTGGTGAGGAGCGAGTGGTGAGGAGCGATGAGGAGCGAGTGGTGAGGAGCGAGTGGTGAGGAGTGGTGAGGAGCGAGTGGTGGTGAGCGAGTGGTGAGGAGCGAGTGGTGAGGAGTGGTGAGGAGCGAGTGGTGGTGAGCGAGTGGTGAGGAGCGAGTGGTGAGGAGTGGTGAGGAGCGAGTGGTGAGGAGTGGTGAGGAGTGGTGAGGAGTGGTGAGGAGCGAGTGGTGAGGAGCGAGTGGTGAGGAGCGAGTGGTGAGGAGCGAGTGGTGAGGAGTGGTGAGGAGCGAGTGGTGAAGAGTGGTGAGGAGCGAGTGGTGAGGAGCGAGTGGTGAGGAGTGGTGAGGAGCGAGTGGTGAGGAGTGGTGAGGAGCGAGTGGTGAGGAGCGATTGGTGAGGAGCGAGTGGTGAGGAGTGGTGAGGAGCGAGTGGTGAGGAGCGAGTGGTGAGGAGTGGTGAGGAGCGAGTGGTGAGGAGCGAGTGGTGAGGAGCGAGCGAGTGGTGAGGAGTGGTGAGGAGCGAGTGGTGAGGAGCGATGAGGAGCGAGTGGTGAGGAGTGGTGAGAGTGGTGAGGAGCTTGTGGTGAGGAGTGAGCGGTGAGGAGTGGTGAGGAGCGAGTGGTGAGGAGTGGTGAGGAGTGGTGAGGAGCGAGTGGTGAGGAGCGAGTGGTGAGCGAGCGAGTGGTGAGGAGCGACTGGTGAGGAGCGATGAGGAGCGAGTGGTGAGGAGTGGTGAGGAGTGGTGAGGAGTGAGTGGTGAGTGTTACCGGTGTGAGTGAGGCGCACGAGACACTGGTGGAGCCACGGGTGGTCCCGGTCGAGTGAGAATGCTCGCTTAGCCGACTGGAGCATCAGCAGCACCTTACCTGCACACACACACACAGTCACATACACACAGTCACATACACACAGTCACACACAGTCACACACAGACACACACACACAGTCACATACACACAGACACACACACAGTCACATACACACACAGTCACACACACACAGTCATACACACACACAGACACACACACACAGTCACACACACACAGTCACACACACAGATACACACACACACACAGACACACACACAGACACACACACAGACACACACACAAACACACACACACAGACACACACACACACAGACACACACACACACAGACACACACACACACACAGACACACACACGCATAGCCACACAGACACACACACAGACACACAAACACACACAGACACACACACGCATAGCCACACAGACACACACCCCGCGTCATCACACACATACACAGACAAAGGCCCCCCCCCGTGTAGCCTCTAGCAGGCTGTAGGGGCAAGTGCTGTTAGCAGCGCTGCCTGTGAAGGCTACCGGCACTGTGGCACACACAGAGGGGGTGGGTGGCCAGCACCACCACCACGCCCGGCCGCCTTTGTCTCTCCCGCAGGCGCTGGCGATGTTCACTACTACACTACCACCACTACTATACCACCACCACCACCGCCACACCACCACCATCACTACACCACCACCACTACACCACCACCGCTACACCACCACCACTACACCACCGCTACACCACCACTACACCACCACCACTACACCACCACCACCACCACTACACCACCACTACACCACCACCACGACAGCACCACCAATACACCAGCTACTCGTTTGAGGCTGAGTCGACCTAGGGGAGGCCCAGGACCGGTTCAGATAATCGTCACCGGTGGTGTTGGCCGTGAACGGGAATCCAACCCGGGTCGCTGGGTTCGTAGCGCAGCGCTAACCGCTGCACCACCACTCCCCGCGTCACAACACGCTGTCAGAACATCACCAATACACCACAGCGTCACATCACAGCGTCACATCACAGCGTCACACCACTCGCACTCACTCACCACACCACAGCGTCACACCACACTCACTCACCACACTCACTCACCACACCACAGCGTCACACCACTCACACTCACTCACCACAACGTCACACCACTCACTCACTCACCACACTCACTCACCACACCACAGCGTCACACCACTCACACTCACTCACCACAACGTCACACCACTCACTCACTCACCACACTCACTCACCACACCACAGCGTCACACCACTCACACTCACTCACCACAACGTCACACCACTCACTCACCACACTCACTCACCACACCACAGCGTCACACCACTCACACTCACTCACCACAACGTCACACCACTCACTCACTCACCACACTCACTCACCACACCACAGCGTCACACCATTCACACTCACTCACCACACCACAGCGTCACACCACTCACTCACCACAACACAGCGTCACACCACAGCGTCACACCACTCACTCACTCACCACCCCACAGCGTCACACCACACTCACTCACCACACTCACTCACCACACCACAGCGTCACACCACTCACACTCACTCACCACAACGTCACACCACTCACTCACTCACCACACTCACTCACCACACCACAGCGTCACACCACTCACACTCACTCACCACAACGTCACACCACTCACTCACTCACCACACTCACTCACCACACCACAGCGTCACACCACTCACACTCACTCACCACAACGTCACACCACTCACTCACCACACTCACTCACCACACCACAGCGTCACACCACTCACACTCACCACAACGTCACACCACTCACTCACTCACCACACTCACTCACCACACCACAGCGTCACACCATTCACACTCACTCACCACACCACAGCGTCACACCACTCGCACTCACTCACCACACCACAGCGTCACACCACACTCACTCACCACACTCACTCACCACACCACAGCGTCACACCACTCACACTCACTCACCACAACGTCACACCACTCACTCACTCACCACACTCACACACCACACCACAGCGTCACACCACTCACACTCACTCACCACAACGTCACACCACTCACTCACTCACCACACTCACTCACCACACCACAGCGTCACACCACTCACACTCACTCACCACAACGTCACACCACTCACTCACCACACTCACTCACCACACCACAGCGTCACACCACTCACACTCACTCACCACAACGTCACACCACTCACTCACTCACCACACTCACTCACCACACCACAGCGTCACACCATTCACACTCACTCACCACACCACAGCGTCACACCACTCACTCACCACAACACAGCGTCACACCACAGCGTCACACCACTCACTCACTCACCACCCCACAGCGTCACACCACACTCACTCACCACACTCACTCACCACACCACAGCGTCACACCACTCACACTCACTCACCACACCGTCACACCACTCACTCACTCACCACACTCACTCACCACACCACAGCGTCACACCACTCACACTCACTCACCACAACGTCACACCACTCACTCACTCACCACACTCACTCACCACACCACAGCGTCACACCACTCACACTCACTCACCACAACGTCACACCACTCACTCACCACACTCACTCACCACACCACAGCGTCACACCACTCACACTCACCACAACGTCACACCACTCACTCACTCACCACACTCACTCACCACACCACAGCGTCACACCATTCACACTCACTCACCACACCACAGCGTCACACCACTCACTCACCACACCACAGCGTCACACCACAGCGTCACACCACTCACTCACTCACCACACCACAGCGTCACACCACTCACACTCACTTACCACACCACTCGCTCACCACTCACACCACTCACTCACCACTCACACACCCCACACCACTCACTCACCACTCACACTCACCACTCACACTCACCACTCACACTCACCACTCACACTCACTCACCACTCACACTCACCACTCACACTCACCACTCACACTCACCACTCACACTCACCACTCACACTCACCACTCACACTCACCACTCACACTCACTCACCACTCACACTCACCACTCACACTCACCACTCACACTCACTCACCACTCACACTCACCACTCACACTCACCACTCACACTCACTCACCACTCACACTCACCACTCACACTCACCACTCACCACTCACACTCACACTCCCCACACCACTCACACTCACCACTCACACTCACCACTCACACTCACTCACCACTCACACTCACCACTCACTCACCACTCACACTCACCACTCACTCACCCCACTCCACTCACTCACCACTCACACTCTCCACACACCACTCACTCACCCCACTCCACTCACTCACCACTCACACTCACCACTCACACTCCCCACTCACCACTCACCACTCCCCACTCACTCACCCCACTCCACTCACTCACCACTCACACTCACCACTCACACTCCCCACTCACCACTCACCACTCCCCACACACCACTCACTCACCCCACTCCACTCACTCACCACTCACACTCACCACTCACCACTCCCCACACACCACTCACTCACCCCACTCCACTCACTCACCACTCACACTCCCCACACACCACTCACTCCCCACTCACCACTCACTCCCCACTCACCACTCACACTCACCACTCACACTCCCCACACACCACTCACACTCCCCACACTCACCACTCACTCTCACCACTCACACTCACCACTCACTCACCACTCCCCACTCACTCACCACTCACACCACTCACTCCCCTCTCACCACACTCCCCACTCACCACTCTCCCCACTCACTCACCCTTGCGGTAGTAAATCTCGAAGGCCATGAGGTGAGTGTCGATGCGGTGCCCGGCCAGCGTCTTGAGCGGTGTCAGGAACTTGATGGCCTCCTCCAGGGGACTGTCCACCTGGGGGGGGGGGGGGCACGGGGGGGGGGCACGGGGGGGGGGGCACGGGGGGGGGGGTCACCCTCTTGTCGCTCTCTCTCTGCGTCAACTTACTCGATCGCCTACTCACCCGCTAACCCACCTACTCACCCACCTACTCACCCGCCTACTCACCCGCCTACTCACCCGCTCACCCACCTACTCACCCACCTGCCTACTCACCCACCTACTCACCCACCTACTCACCCGCTCACCCACCTACTCACCCGCTCACCCACCTACTCACCCACCCACCTACTCACCCGCTCACCCACCCGCCACACTCACCCACCCACCTACTCACCCGCTCACCCACTCACTCACTCACTCACCCGCCATGCTCACCCACCCGCCTACTCACCCGCTCACCCACCCGACACACTCACCCACCCACCTACTCACCCGCTCACCCACTCACTCACTCACTCACCCGCCATGCTCACCCACCCGCCTACTCACCCGCTAACCCACCCGCCACGCTCACCCACCCGCTCACTCACTCGCTCACCCACCCGCCTACTCACCCGCTCACTCGCCCTAGGCAGGAGGGAGCGGGTGGCGTGGTGGGTGGGTGGCGTGGTGAGTGGCGTGGTGGTTGGTGTGGTGGGTGGCGTGGTGGGTGACGTGGTGGGTGGCGTGGTGGGTGACGTGGTGGGTGAGTGGCGTGGTGGGTGGGTGGCGTGGTGGGTGGGTGGGTGGCGTGGTGGGTGGGTGGCGTGGTGGGTGGGTGGCGTGGTGGGTGGCGTGGTGGGTGGCGTGGTGGGTGGGTGACGTGGTGGGTGAGTGACGTGGTGTGTGGGTGGCGTGGTGGGTGGGTGGCGTGGGTGGGTGAGTGACGTGGTGGGTGAGTGACGTGGTGGGTGGGTGACGTGGTGGGTGAGTGGCGTGGTGGGTGGGTGACGTGGTGGGTGAGTGACGTGGTGGGTGGGTGACGTGGTGGGTGAGTGACGTGGGTGGGTGGGTGACGTGGTGGGTGAGTGGCGTGGTGGGTGGGTGACGTGGTGGGTGAGTGACGTGGGTGGGTGGGTGACGTGGTGGGTGAGTGACGTGGTGTGTGGGTGACGTGGTGGGTGAGTGACGTGGTGGGTGGGTGAGTGGCGTGGTGGGTGGGTGACGTGGTGGGTGAGTGACGTGGTGGGTGGGTGGCGTGGTGGGTGGGTGACGTGGTGGGTGGGTGACGTGGTGGTGGGTGGGCGACGTGGGTGGGTGGGTGGCGTGGTGGGTGGGTGACGTGTGTGGGTGAGTGACGTGGTGGGTGAGTGACGTGGTGTGTGGGTGACGTGGTGGGTGAGTGACGTGGTGGGTGGGTGAGTGACGTGGGTGGGTGGGTGACGTGGTGGGTGAGTGGCGTGGTGTGTCTGTGTGTGTGTCATGACGTCCACCCTTCTCCTCCTTCTCCTCCTCCTCCTCCTCCTCCACCTCCTCACCCGCGCCAGCTTGTCGGGCAGCAGCTCCTCCCGCACGCCCGCCTGCCCCTCCTCGTCCTCGTCGTCGGCTGCCCCCGGGCCGCCGCCCCGGCGCCGCTTGCCGTGGTTGCGCTGCTGCTGTTGCCGGCGCTCCTCGGCACTCCGCTGCTCCTCCTCGCGCTGAGCCTTCTTCTGGGCACGGCGCTGCTTGCTGTGCAGCTTCTTCAGCTCCTGCGAGGTCAGCGTCTCTGCGCGCGGGGTGGAGGGGGCGGTGCGGGGAGAGTTCGGTGGGCTCGCCCGGCCGGTCCCTCGCTCGCCCGGCCCCTCGCTCGCCCGGCCGCTCATTCACTCAGTCACTCAGCCACTCACTCAGCCACTCATTCACTCACTCAGTCACTCACCCAGTCACTCACTCAGCCACTCACTCACTCAGTCACTCACCCAGCCACTCATTCACTCACTCACCCAGCCACTCGCCCAGCCACTCACCCAGCCACTCATTCACTCAGTCACTCAGCCACTCATTCACTCACTCAGTCACTCACCCAGCCACTCACCCAGCCACTCATTTACTCAGTCACTCAGCCCCTCATTCACTCAGTCACTCACCCAGCCACTCACCCAGCCAATCGCTCAGCCACTCACTCACTCAGCCACTCATTCACACACTCACTCAGTCACTCACCCAGCCACTCACCCAGCCAATCACTCAGCCACTCATTCACTCACTCACCCAGCCACTCATTCACTCACTCACCCAGCCACTCATTCACTCACTCACCCAGCCACTCATTCACTCACTCACTCAGTCACTGACCCAGCCACTCACCCAGCCACTCACTCAGCCACTCATTCACTCACTCAGTCACTCACCCAGTCACTCACCCAGCCACTCATTCAGTCACTCACCCAGTCACTCATTCACTCACTCACTCACCCAGCCTCTCGCCCAGCCACTCACCCAGCCACTCAGTCACTCATTCACTCACTCACTCACCCAGCCTCTCACCCAGCCTCTCACCCAGCCACTCACCCAGCCACTCACCCAGCCACTCATTCACTCACTCACCCAGTCACTCACCCAGTCACTCACTCAGCCACTCGCCCAGCCACTCACTCACTCACTCACCCAGCCACTCACCCAGCCACTCACTCAGTCACTCATTCACTCACTCACCCAGCCTCTCACCCAGCCACTCACCCAGCCACTCATTCACTCAGTCACTGACCCAGCCACTCACCCAGCCACTCACTCAGCCACTCATTCACTCACTCACCCAGTCACTCATTCACTCACTCACTCACCCAGCCTCTCACCCAGCCACTCACCCAGCCACTCATTCACTCAGTCACTGACCCAGCCACTCACCCAGCCACTCACTCAGCCACTCATTCACTCACTCACCCAGTCACTCACCCAGTCACTCACTCAGCCACTCGCCCAGCCACTCACTCAGTCACTCACCCAGCCACTCATTCACTCACTCACTCACTCAATCACTCACCCAGCCACTCACCGAGCCACTCGCCCAGCCACTCACCCAGCCACTCTCCCAGCCACTCGCCCAGCCACTCACCCAGCCACTCACCCAGCCACTCACTCAGCCACTCATTCACTCACTCACCCAGTCACTCATTCACTCACTCACTCACCCAGCCTCTCACCCAGCCACTCACCCAGCCACTCATTCACTCAGTCACTGACCCAGCCACTCACCCAGCCACTCACTCAGCCACTCATTCACTCACTCACCCAGTCACTCACCCAGTCACTCACTCAGCCACTCGCCCAGCCACTCACTCAGTCACTCACCCAGCCACTCATTCACTCACTCACTCAATCACTCACCCAGCCACTCACCGAGCCACTCACTCATTCACTCACCCGGCCACTCACCCAGCCACTCATTCACTCACTCAGCCACTCACCCAGCCACTCACCCAGCCACTCACTCAGCCACTCATTCACTCAGCCACTCATTCAGTCACTCACCCAGCCACTCGCCCAGCCACTCACCCAGCCACTCACCCAGCTACTCATTCACTCACTCACCCAGCCACTCAACCAGCCACTCACCCAGCCACTCATTCACTCAGTCACCCAGCCACTCACCCAGCCACTCATTCACTCACTCACCCAGCCACTCATTCACTCACTCAGTCACTCACCCAGCCACTCGCCCAGCCACTCACCCAGCCACTCACCCAGCCACTCACCCCGGCCCCCACGCTCACCCCACACCGCTCACCCCACGCCGCTCACCGGCGTTGGCCTGGCTCTCCGCTTGCCTGGCTGGCGAGCGGCTGGTTCGTACAGGTGCAGGTCAACCCTCACCTCGGCACGCTGCTCACCCCACACTCACCACCGCTCACCCCACGCCGCTCACCGGCGTTGGCCTGGCTCTCCGCTGCGTTGCTGGCGAGCGGCTGGTCGTACAGGTGCAGGTAGATGTCCGTGGCAATGCGAGCCGCACGGTAGAAGAATGGGTGGGAGCGGAGGACATCCTCCAAGCGCAGCAGCTGCACGTAGGCCCGCAGGGTCATCTTGCGCATGCAGTAGGTGTGGAAGTCGAACTGGTCGTCCGTGATCTCGGCAAAGTGCTGCGGGCGCGGGGAGAGAGAGAGACACGGGGAGAGAGACACGGGGAGAGACACGGGGAGAGAGACACGGACAGAGAGAGAGACACGGGGTGAGTGAGAGAGAGAGACACGGGGTGAGAGAGAGAGACACGGGGTGAGAGAGAGAGAGACACGGGGTGAGAGAGATAGAGACACGGGGTGAGAGAGATAGAGACACGGGGTGAGAGAGATAGAGACACGGGGTGAGAGAGAGAGACACGGGGTGAGAGAGAGAGACACGGGGTGAGAGAGATAGACACGGGGTGAGAGAGATAGACACGGGGTTAGAGACACAGGGGGTTAGAGACACACGGGGTGAGAGAGAGAGACACTGGGTGAGAGAGATAGACACGGGGTGAGAGAGATAGACACGGGGTTAGAGACACACGGGGTTAGAGACACACGGGGTGAGAGAGAGACACTGGGTGAGAGAGATAGACACGGGGTGAGAGAGACACGGGGTGAGTGAGACACGGGGTGAGAGAGACACGGGGTGAGAGAGACACGGGGTGAGAGAGAGACACGGGGTGAGAGAGAGACACGGGGTGAGAGAGAGACACGGGGTGAGAGAGAGAGAGACACGGGGTGAGAGAGAGAGAGACACGGGGTGAGAGAGAGACACGGGGTGAGAGAGAGACACGGGGTGAGAGAGAGACACGGGGTGAGAGAGACACGGGGTGAGAGAGACACGGGGAGAGACATGGGGAGAGACACGGGGTGAGAGAGACACAGGGTGAGAGAGACACGGGGTGAGAGAGAGACACGGGGTGAGAGAGACACGGGGTGAGAGAGACACGGGGTGAGAGAGAGACACGGGGTGAGAGAGAGACACGGGGTGAGAGAGAGAGAGACACGGGGTGAGAGAGAGAGACACGGGGTGAGAGAGAGACACGGGGTGAGAGAGAGAGACACGGGGTGAGAGAGAGAGACACGGGGAGACATGGAGACACAGAGACACGGGGAGACAATGAAACGAGGCGTCCCTCTCGCCACCCCGCGTGACCCCCCCACGTGACCCCCCCACGTGACCCCCCCACGTGACCCCCACGTGACCCCCACGTGACCCCCGTACCCTCTCGATCTCGTGACACTTCTTAAGGGCGTCGCCGTGACGCAGCGTCCGCTGGAAGGCCGCCGCCCCCTCCACCTGGAACCACATGCACTGCATCTCGTTCAGGTTCTCCATCGCACACGTGCCCTCCTGCACACACACACGGGCACGGGCACGGGCACACACACAGACACACACACACACACACAGACACACACATACACACACAGACACACACACAGACACACACACAGACACACACAGACACACACACACACAGACACACACACACAGACACACACACACAGACACACACACACAGACACACACACACAGACACACACACACACACACAGACACACACACACACAGACACACACACACACAGACACACACACACAGACACACACACACACACAGACACACACACACACAGACACACACACACACAGACACACACACACAGACACACACACACACACAGACACACACGGGCACACACACACACGGGCACGCACAGACACACACAGACACACGGGCACACACACACACGCGGGCACACACACACACGGGCATACACACACACACACACACGGGCATACACACACACACAGACACACACACACGCACACACACACACACGCACGCGCACACACACGCACACACACACGGGCACACACACACACGCACACACACACACACAGACAGGAAGGGGGGGGAAGACAGACAGACAAGAGAGACATTGTTGTTGTTGTTGTCGTTGTTGTTGTGATAACCACCAGCACCACGAGAAGCATGGACACCCCCACTCACCTAAACCCCTCACCACAACCCTCACCCTCACCACCCCACTCACCCTAACCACCCCCCTCACCACCCCACTCACCACCCCCCTCACCCTCACAACCCCACTCACCACCCCCCTCACAACCCCACTCACCACCACCACCCCACTCACCACCACCACCCCACTCACCCTCACAACCCCACTCACCACCCCCCTCACCCTCACCACCACACTCACCCTCACCACCCCTCACCACTCACCCTCACCCCACTCACCCCCCTCACCACCTCCCCACTCACCCCCCTCACCACCACCACTCACCCTGGTGAACTTGGAGCACATGTCCTCCCACTCACCCTCACCACCCCACTCACCCCCCTCACCACCTCCCCACTCACCCCCCTCACCACTCACCCTGGTGAACTTGGAGCAACATGTCCTCCCACTCACCCTGACCCCCCTCACCACTCCTCACCACCACCCCTCACCACTCACCACTCACCCAACTCACCCCCCTCACCACCTCCCCTCACCCTCACCACCCCTCACCACCACTCACCCTGGTGAACTTGGAGCACATGTCCTCCCACTCACCCTCACCACCTCTCCACTCACCACCCTCACCCCTCACCACCCCACTCACCACCCCACTCACCACCCCACTCACCCCCCTCACCACTCACCCTGGTGAACTTGGAGCACATGTCCTCCCACTCACCCTCACCACCCCACTCACCCCCCTCACCACCTCCCCACTCACCCCCCTCACCACTCACCCTGGTGAACTTGGAGCAACATGTCCTCCCACTCACCCTGACCCCCCTCACCACTCCTCACCACCACCCCTCACCACTCACCCTCACCCAACTCACCCCCCTCACCACCTCCCCACTCACCACCACCCCTCACCACCACTCACCCTGGTGAACTTGGAGCACATGTCCTCCCACTCACCCTCACCACCCCCCTCACCCTCACCACCTCCCCACTCACCCCTCACCCTCACCACCCCTCACCACCACCACTCACCCTGGTGAACTTGGAGCACATGTCCTCAGCGTCTCTCACCAAGCTCGCCCTCAGGAGGTATTTAGCGCACTTAGAGTTGATGAATCGGTCAGCCGTGTCCAGCGACTGTGCTTCGTCCATCCAGCGCGCAGCCTCGGTCTCATTGCCGGCGTGCTGGGGGGGGCACGTGGGAGGTCAGCCGTGACGTCATCGAGCGTGACGTCATCGAGCGTGACGTCATCGAGCGTGACGTCATCGAGCGTGACGTCGTCATCAACCGTGACGTCGTCGACCGTGCCGTCATCAACTCACCGCTCACTCACCACCACTCACTCACTCACCACTCACTCACCACTCACTCTACCACTCACTCTACCACTCACTCACCCACCCACTCACCACCCACTCACTCACTACCCACTCACCACCCACTCACCACCCACTCACTCACCACTCACTCACCCACTCACTCACTCACCACTCACTCACCACTCACTCACCACCCACTCACCACCCACTCACCACCCACCCACTCACCACCCACTCACCACCCACCCACTCACCACCCACTCACCACCCACTCACCACCCACTCACCACCCACCCACTCACCACCCACTCACCACCCACTCACCACCCACTCACCTTGTAGATCTTGGCCTTGATGTAGAACAACTCGATGACTGTGGGTGTGTGATCACCACTCACCACTCACTCACCACTCACTCACCACCCACTCACCACCCACTCACCACCCACTCACCACTCACTCACCACCCACTCACTCACCACTCACTCACCACCCACTCACTCACCACTCACTCACCACCCACTCACCTTGTAGATCTTGGCCTTGATGTAGAACAACTCGATGACTGTGGGCGTGTGATCACCACTCACCACACACTCACCACTCACTCACCACTCACTCACCCACTCACTCACCCACTCACTCACTCAACCACTCACTCAACCACTCACTCACTCACTCACTCTACCACTCACTCACTCACCACCCACTCACCACCCACTCACCACTCACTCACCACCCACTCACTCACCACCCACTCACTCACCACTCACCACCCACTCACCACCCACTCACCACCCACTCACTCCTCACCTTGTAGATCTTGGCCTTGATGTAGAACAACTCGATCACTGTGGGCGTGTGATCATCACTCATCACTCACTCACCACCCACTCACCACTCACTCACCACCCACTCACCACCCACCCACTCACCACCCACTCACCTTGTAGATCTTGGCCTTGATGTAGAACAACTCGATCACTGTGGGTGTGTGATCATCACTCACCACTCACTCACTCACCACCCACCCACTCACTCACCACTCACTCTACCACTCACTCACTCACTCTACCACTCACTCACTCTACCACTCACTCACTCACTCTACCACTCACTCACCCACCCACTCACCACCCACTCACCACTCACTCTACCACTCACTCACTCTACCACTCACTCACCCACTCACCACCCACTCACCACCCACTCACCTTGTAGATCTTGGCCTTGATGTAGAACAACTCGATCACTGTGGGCGTGTGATCAATGGCTGCGTCGATGTAGCTCAGCGCCCGTGCCCCGTCCCCCACCAGGTCAAAGTGTTGGGCTAGGAAGTACTGCACCCACAGAAGCGTTGTGGGGGGCTCACGCCCGTCCGTGTCTGACGCACGCGGCGGCGAGAGTGGGGGGCACGGCGGGGGTGGGGAGAGGGGGGGGAGACACGGGGCGGTGAGTGGCGGCGAGAGAGTGGGGGGCTCTGAGAGACATGATGGTGGTGATGATGGTGATGATGGTGACGGTGATGATGGTGATGGTGGTGATGACGGTGATGATGATGATGGTGATGATGGTGACGGTGATGACGGTGACGGTGATGGTGATGACGGTGATGATGGTGATGACGGTAATGGTGGTGATGATGGTGATAACGGTGATGGTGGTGATGACGGTGATGGTGGTGATGGTGATGACGGTGATGGTGATGATGGTGACGGTGATGACGGTGATGATGGTGATGACGGTGATGACGGTGATGATGGTGATGATAGTGGTGGTGATGACGGTGATGGTGGTGATGATGGTGGTGGTGATGACGGTGAGTGATGGTGATGACAGTGATGGCGGCGAGTGATGGTGATGATGGTGGTGATAGTGATGACAGTGATGGTGGTGATGGTGATGACGGTGGTGATGGTGGTGAGTGATGGTGGTGAGTGATGGTGATGACGGTGGTGATGGTGATGACAGTGATGGTGGTGATGGTGAGTGATGGTGGTGAGTGATGGTGGTGATGGTGATGACAGTGATGGTGGTAATGGTGGTGAGTGATGGTGGTGATGGTGGTGAGTGATGGTGGTGATGATGGTAGTGATGGTGGTGAGTGATGGTGGTGGTGGTGAGTGATAGTGGTGGTGGTGGTGAGTGATAGTGGTGATGGTGGTGATGATGATGGTGGTGAGTGATGGTGAGTGATGGTGGTGAGTGATAGTGGTGATGGTGGTGAGTGATGATGGTGATGGTAGTGAGTGATGGTGGTGAGTGATGGTGAGTGATGGTGATGATGGTAGTGAGTGATGGTGGTGGTGATGGTGGTGAGTGATGGTGGTGATGATGACGGTGGTGATGGTGGTGAGTGATGGTGGTGAGTGATGGTGGTGGTGATGGTGGTGATAGTGGTGATGGTGGTGAGTGATGGTGGTGATGATGGTGATGGTGGTGATGACGGTGGTGATGGTGGTGAGTGATGGTGGTGATGGTGGTGAGTGATGGTGGTGATGATGGTGATGGTGGTGAGTGATGGTGATGACGGTGGTGATGGTGGTGAGTGATGGTGGTGGTGATGGTGGTGATGACGGTGGTGATGGTCGTGATGGTGATGGTGGTGAGTGATGGTGGTGCGTGATGATGGTGATGACGGTGGTGATGGTGGTGGTGATGGTGGTGATGATGGTGGTGGTGGTGATGGTGGTGATGACGGTGGTGATGGTCGTGATGGTGATGGTGGTGGGTGATGGTGGTGAGTGATGGTGGTGCGTGATGATGGTGGTGATGGTGATGGTGGTGGTGATGGTGGTGGTGATGGTGGTGATGATGGTGGTGATGGTGGTGATGGCGGTGATGATGGTGAGTGATGGTGAGTGATGGTGGTGGTGATGGTGGTGATGATGGTGGTGATGATGGTGGTGAGTGATGGTGATGGTGAGTGATGGTAGTGAGTGGTGGTGAGTGATGGTGATGATGGTGGTGAGTGATGGTGAGTAATGGTGGTGATGATGGTGATGATGATGGTGATGAGTGATGATGGTGGTGATAGTGATGGTGGTGAGTGGTGGTGAGTGATGGTGGTGGTGATGATGGTGAGTGATGGTGAGTGATGGTGGTGAGTGATGGTGATGGTGGTGATGGTGGTGATGGTGATGGTGGTGGTGATGGTGGTGAGTGATGGTGGTGGTGATGGTGGTGAGTGATGGTGGTGGTGATGGTGGTGATGGTGGTGGTGATGGTGGTGAGTGATGGTGGTGGTGATGGTGGTGGTGATGGTGGTGATGATGGTGGTGATGGTGGTGATGGTCGTGACGGTGATGGTGGTGAGTGATGGTGGTGAGTGATGATGGTGATGATGGTGGTGATGGTGATGACGGTGGTGATGGTCGTGATGGTGATGGTGGTGAGTGATGATGGTGATGACGGTGGTGATGGTGATGGTGGTGATGGTGGTGATGATGGTGAGTGATGGTGAGTGATGGTGGTGATGATGGTGGTGATGGTGATGGTGGTGATGATGGTGAGTGATGGTGAGTGATGGTGGTGGTGATGGTGGTGATGATGGTGGTGGTGATGGTGGTGATGATGGTGATGACAGTTATGGTGATGACAGTGATGATGATGGTGATGATGGTGATGAGTGATGATGGTGGTGATGGTGGTGGTGAGTGATGGTGGTGAGTGATGGTGGTGAGTGATGGTGGTGAGTGATGATGGTGATGACGGTGGTGATGGTGATGGTGGTGATGGTGAGTGATGGTGAGTGATGGTGAGTGATGGTGGTGATGATGATGGTGGTGATGGTGATGATGATGGTGAGTGATGGTGGTGGTGATGGTGATGGTCGTGATGATGGTGGTGGTGATGGTGGTGATGATGGTTATGATGGTGATGATGGTGATGGTGATGATGATGGTGATGATGGTGGTGAGTGATAGTGGTGATGGTGGTGAGTGATGGTGGTGATGACAGTGATGGTGGTGAGTGATAGTGGTGATGGTGGTGATGAGTGATGGTGAGTGATGGTGAGTGCTGGTGAGTGATGATGGTGATGGTGATGATGGTGATGGTGGTGATGTCACCTTCAGGACTGTACATCTCACAGGTGGTGAGTGATGGTGAGTGATGGTGAGTGGTAGTGAGTGATGGTGATGATGATGATGGTGTCACCTTCAGGACTGTACATCTCACAGGTGGTGAGTGATGGTGAGTGATGGTGAGTGGTAGTGAGTGATGGTGATGATGGTGATGATGATGATGGTGTCACCTTCAGGACTGTACATCTCACAGGTGGTGAGTGATGGTGAGTGATGGTGAGTGGTAGTGAGTGATGGTGATGATGGTGTCACCTTCAGGACTGTACATCTCACAGGTGGTGAGTGATGGTGAGTGATGGTGAGTGGTAGTGAGTGATGGTGATGATGGTGATGATGATGATGATGGTGTCACCTTCAGGACTGTACATCTCACAGGTGGTGAGTGATGGTGAGTGGTAGTGAGTGATAGTGGTGAGTGATGATGGTGATGATGATGTCACCTTCAGGACTGTACATCTCACAGGTGGTGAGTGATGGTGAGTGATGGTGAGTGGTAGTGAGTGATGGTGATGATGGTGATGATGATGATGGTGGTGTCACCTTCAGGACTGTACATCTCACAGGTGGTGAGTGATGGTGAGTGGTAGTGAGTGATGGTGATGATGGTGATGATGATGGTGGTGTCACCTTCAGGACTGTACATCTCACAGGACTTCAGTGCAAACTCGTAGCCTAGAACCAGATCCTCGATTATGGAGACCTGGGGAGGGGGGAGGAGACAGAGAGACACACGGAGAGAGACACACGGAGACACACACGGTGAGACACACGGTGAGAGAGACACACACACAGAGACACACGGTGAGACACAGAGACACACGGAGAGAGAGACACACGGAGAGAGAGAGACACACGGTGAGACACACGAAGAGAGACACGGAGAGAGACAAGGTGAGACAGAGAGAGACACACGGAAAGAGACACGGTGAGACACACAGACACATGGAGAGACAGAGAGACACACGGAGACACACACACGGTGAGACACACGGAGAGAGAGACACACGGTGAGACACACGGTGAGACACACGGTGAGACACACGGTGAGACACACGGTGAGACACACACACAGAGACACACACACAGAGACACACACACAGAGACACACACACAGAGACATACACACAGAGACACACACACAGAGACACACACAGAGACACAGAGAGACACACACAGAGACACACACACAGAGACATACACACAGAGACACACACACAGAGACACACACAGAGACACAGAGAGACACACACAGAGACACACACACAGAGAGACACAGAGACACACACAGAGACACAGAGACACACACAGACACACACAGACACACACACACAGACACACACAGAGACACACACAGAGACAGACACACACACAGAGACACACACAGAGACACACACACACAGACACACACACAGAGACACACGGAGAGACACACGGAGAGACACACACAGAGACACACATACAGAGACACACAGAGACACACACACAGAGACACACACACAGAGACACACAGGGACACACAGAGACACACAGAGACACACACACAGAGACAAACACACACACAGAGACACACACACAGAGACACACACACAGAGACACACACACAGAGACACACAGGGACACACACACAGACACACACAGAGACACACACACAGGGACACACACAGGGACACACACAGAGAGACACACACACAGAGACACACACACTGAGACACATAGAGACACACACAGAGACACACACACAGGGACACACACACAGAGACACACACACTGAGACACATAGAGACACACACAGAGACACACACAGAGACACACATAGACACACACGCAGAGACACACAGAGAGAGACACGCAGAGACACACATAGACACAGAGACACACACACAGAGACACACACAGAGACACACACAGAGACACACACACAGAGACACACACACAGAGACACACACAGGGACACACACACAGAGGCACACACAGAGACACACAGAGACACACAAACAGAGCCACACACACAGAGAGACACACAGAGAGAGACACACACACAGAGACACACACAGAGACACACACACACAGACACACACAGACACACACAGAGACACACACAGACACACACAGAGACACACACAGAGACACACACAGAGACACACACAGACACACACAGAGACACACACAGACACACACAGAGACACACACAGACACACTCACAGAGACACACACAGAGACATACACACAGAGACACACACACAGGGACGGGGGGGGGGGTGTAAGGGGGTCCCCACCTTCTGGGGGTCCCTGTACAGCGATTTCAGCGACACGAGGAGGGGGTGGCAGCCCTTGGTGAAATTACGTCGCAGGTAGCGGTCAATCCTAGAGCGGAACACCTCACCTGTACACACACAGGTACAGGTTACTGTTAGTGTGGAACACCTCACCTGTACACACACACACGTACAGATCACTGTTAGAGCGGAACACCTCACCTGTACACACACAGGTACAGGTTACTGTTAGTGTGGAACACCTCACCTGTACACACACACACAGGTCACTGTTAGAGTGGAACACCTCACCTGTACACACACACACACACAGGTTACTGTTAGTGTGGAACACCTCACCTGTACACACACACACACACAGGTACAGGTTACTGTTAGTGTGGAACACCTCACCTGTACACACACAGGTACAGGTTACTGTTAGTGTGGAACACCTCACCTGTACACACACACACACACAGGTACAGGTTACTGTTAGTGTGGAACACCTCACCTGTACACACACACACACACACAGGTACAGGTTACTGTTAGTGTGGAACACCTCACCTGTACACACACACACAGGTACAGGTTACTGTTAGTGTGGAACACCTCACCTGTACACACACACACGTACAGATCACTGTTAGAGCGGAACACCTCACCTGTACACACACAGGTACAGGTTACTGTTAGAGTGGAACACCTCACCTGTACACATACAGGTACAGATCACTGTTAGAGTGGAACACCTCACCTGTACACACACAGGTACAGATCACTGTTAGTGTGGAACACCTCACCTGTACACACACAGGTACAGATCACTGTTAGTGTGGAACACCTCACCTGTACACACACAGGTATAGATCACTGTTAGAGTGGAACCCCTCACCTGTACACACAGGTACAGGTAACTGTTAGAGTGGAACACCTCACCTGTACACACACACACACAGGTCACTGTTAGTGTGGAACACCTCACCTGTACACACACAGGTTACTGTTAGAGTGGAACACCTCACCTGTACACACACACACAGGTACAGATCACTGTTAGAGTGGAACACCTCACCTGTACACACACACACACAGGTACAGGTTACTGTTAGAGTGGAACACCTCACCTGTACACACACACACACAGGTTACTGTTAGAGTGGAACACCTCACCTGTACACACACACACACAGGTCACTGTTAGTGTGGAACACCTCACCTGTACACACACACACAGGTACAGATCACTGTTAGAGTGGAACACCTCACCTGTACACACACACACACAGGTACAGGTCACTGTTAGTGTGGAACACCTCACCTGTACACACACACACACACAGGTTACTGTTAGTGTGGAACACCTCACCTGTACACACACACACACACAGGTCACTGTTAGAGTGGAACACCTCACCTGTACACACACACACAGGTTACTGTTAGAGTGGAACACCTCACCTGTACACACACAGGTACAGATTACTGTTAGTGTGGAACACCTCACCTGTACACACACACACAGGTCACTGTTAGAGTGGAACACCTCACCTGTACACACACACACAGGTACAGGTAACTGTTAGTGTGGAACACCTCACCTGTACACACACACACACACAGGTTACTGTTAGAGTGGAACACCTCACCTGTACACACACAGGTACAGGTTACTGTTAGAGTGGAACACCTCACCTGTACACACACAGGTTACTGTTAGAGTGGAACACCTCACCTGTACACACACAGGTCACTGTTAGTGTGGAACACCTCACCTGTACACACACACACACAGGTTACTGTTAGAGTGGAACACCTCACCTGTACACACACAGGTACAGGTTACTGTTAGAGTGGAACACCTCACCTGTACACACACACAGGTCACTGTTAGTGTGGAACACCTCACCTGTACACACACACAGGTACAGGTTACTGTTAGAGTGGAACACCTCACCTGTACACACACACACAGGTCACTGTTAGAGTGGAACACCTCAGCTGTACACACACACACAGGTACAGATCACTGTTAGTGTGGAACACCTCACCTGTACACACACACACACACACAGGTTACTGTTAGTGTGGAACACCTAACCTGTACACACACACACACAGGTTACTGTTAGAGTGGAACACCTCACCTGTACACACACACAGGTCACTGTTAGTGTGGAACACCTCACCTGTACACACACACAGGTACAGGTTACTGTTAGAGTGGAACACCTCACCTGTACACACACACACAGGTCACTGTTAGAGTGGAACACCTCAGCTGTACACACACACACAGGTACAGATCACTGTTAGTGTGGAACACCTCACCTGTACACACACACACAGGTTACTGTTAGTGTGGAACACCTAACCTGTACACACACACACAGGTTACTGTTAGAGTGGAACACCTCGCCTGTACACACACACACAGGTCACTGTTAGAGTGGAACACCTCACCTGTACACACACAGGTACAGGTAACTGTTAGTGTGGAACACCTCACCTGTACACACACAGGTACAGGTCACTGTTAGAGTGGAACACCTCACCTGTACACACACACAGGTCACTGTTAGTGTGGAACACCTCACCTGTACACACACACAGGTTACTGTTAGTGTGGAACACCTCACCTGTACACACACACAGGTCACTGTTAGAGTGGAACACCTCACCTGTACACACACACACACAGGTACAGGTTACTGTTAGTGTGGAACACCTCACCTGTACACACACACAGGTACAGGTTACTATTAGAGTGGAACACCTCACCTGTACACACACAGGTTACTGTTAGAGTGGAACACCTCACCTGTACACACACACACAGGTACAGATCACTGTTAGAGTGGAACACCTCACCTGTACACACACAGGTAAAGGTCACTGTTAGTGTGGAACACCTCACCTGTACACACACACAGGTACAGGTTACTGTTATTGTGGAACACCTCACCTGTACACACACAGGTACAGGTAACTGTTAGTGTGGAACACCTCACCTGTACACACACAGGTACAGGTTACTGTTAGAGTGGAACACCTCACCTGTACACACACACACACAGGTCACTGTTAGAGTGGAACACCTCACCTGTACACACACACACACACAGGTTACTGTTAGAGTGGAACACCTCACCTGTACACACACACACAGGTACAGGTCACTGTTAGAGTGGAACACCTCACCTGGTGAGTACCGGTGAGGAAGGTGAGCGGTAGGTGAGTGTGTGGTGAGTACCGGTGAGGAAGGTGAGCGGTAGGTGAGTGTGTGGTGGTGAGTACCGGTGAGGAAGGTGAGTGGTAGGTGTGTGGTGGTGAGTACCGGTAAGGAAGGTGAGTGTGTGTGTGGTGGTGAGTACCGGTGAGGAAGGTGAGTGTGTGAGTGTGTGGTGGTGAGTACCGGTGAGGAAGCTGAGTGTGTGAGTGTGTGGTGGTGAGTACCGGTGAGGAAGGTGAGTGTGTGAGTGAGTGTGTGGTGAGTACCGGTGAGGAAGGTGAGTGTGTGAGTGTGTGTGTGGTGGTGAGTACCGGTGAGGAAGGTGAGCGGTAGGTGAGTGTGTGGTGGTGAGTACCGGTGAGCGGTAGGTGAGTGTGGGGTGGTGAGTACCGGTGAGGAAGGTGAGTGTGTGAGTGTGTGGTGGTGAGTACCGGTGAGGAAGGTGAGTGTGTGGTGGTGAGTACCGGTGAGGAAGGTGAGTGTGTGAGTGTGTGGTGGTGAGTACCGGTGAGGAAGGTGAGTGTGTGAGTGTGTGGTGGTGAGTACCGGTGAGCGGTAGGTGAGTGTGTGGTGGTGAGTACCGGTGAGTGGTAGGTGAGTGTGTGGTGGTGAGTACCGGTGAGGAAGGTGAGTGTGTGGTGGTGAGTACCGGTGAGGAAGGTGAGTGTGTGAGTGTGTGTGTGGTGGTGAGTACCGGTGAGGAAGGTGAGCGGTAGGTGGGTGTGTGGTGGTGAGTACCGGTGAGTGGTAGGTGAGTGTGTGAGTGTGTGGTGGTGAGTACCGGTGAGGAAGGTGAGTGTGTGGTGGTGAGTACCGGTGAGGAAGGTGAGCGGTAGGTGAGTGTGTGGTGGTGAGTACCGGTGAGCGGTAGGTGAGTGTGTGGTGGTGAGTACCGGTGAGGAAGGTGAGTGTGTGGTGGTGAGTACCGGTGAGGAAGGTGAGTGTGTGAGTGTGTGGTGGTGAGTACCGGTGAGTGGTAGGTGAGTGTGGGGTGGTGAGTACCGGTGAGTGGTAGGTGAGTGTGTGAGTGTGTGTGTGGTGGTGAGTACCGGTGAGTGGTAGGTGAGTGTGTGGTGGTGAGTACCGGTGAGGAAGGTGAGTGTGTGGTGGTGAGTACCGGTGAGGAAGGTGAGTGTGTGAGTGTGTGGTGGTGAGTACCGGTGAGCGGTAGGTGAGTGTGTGGTGGTGAGTACCGGTGAGGAAGGTGAGTGTGTGGTGGTGAGTACCGGTGAGGAAGGTGAGTGTGTGAGTGTGTGGTGGTGAGTACCGGTGAGGAAGGTGAGTGTGTGGTGGTGAGTACCGGTGAGCGGTAGGTGAGTGTGTGGTGGTGAGTACCGGTGAGGAAGGTGAGTGTGTGGTGGTGAGTACCGGTGAGGAAGGTGAGTGTGTGAGTGTGTGGTGGTGAGTACCGGTGAGCGGTAGGTGGGTGTGTGGTGGTGAGTACCGGTGAGGAAGGTGAGCGGTAGGTGTGTGGTGGTGAGTACCGGTGAGGAAGGTGAGTGTGTGGTGAGTACCGGTGAGGAAGGTGAGTGGTAGGTGGGTGGAAGCAAGTGCCCGTGTGTGTGTGGTGGTGAGTACCGGTGAGTGTGTGAGTGTGTGAGTGTGTGTGTGGTGGTGAGTACCGGTGAGTGGTAGGTGAGTGTGGGGTGGTGAGTACCGGTGAGGAAGGTGAGCGGTAGGTGGGTGGGAGCAAGTGCCCGTGGGTGTGTGGTGGTGAGTAACGGTGAGCGGTAGGTGAGTGTGTGAGTGTGTGTGTGAGTGTGTGGTGGTGAGTACCGGTGAGTGGTAGGTGAGTGTGTGGTGGTGAGTACCGGTGAGGAAGGTGAGCGGTAGGTGGGTGGGAGCAAGTGCCCGTGGGTACCTCTCCTCCATCTCTTCGTAGATTCTCAGGCGATCGCCCACAGATCCTGCAGGCGCACACAGACAAAGCTCACCCAGGTAGCCCACACAGAGCTGTTGGGGCAAGGGGCTGTCAGTAGTAGCGAGTCGTAGCAGCCATACCTATGAAGGACACACAAACACACACCAACAACACACACACAACACACAACACACACAGACACACACTAACAACACACACACACTCAGAAATACACAGCAACAACACACAGACAGACACACACAGCAACAACACACCAACAACACACACAGATAACAGACACACAGACAACCACACAGACACACACACACACCAACAACACACACACACACCAACAACACACACACATACACAACACACACCAACAACACACACACAGACACATACAGACACACAACACACACTCAGACACGCAGCAACAACACACACACACCAACAACACACACACAGACACACAGACACACACACAGACACACACAGACACAGACACACACACAGACACAACACACCCACACAGACACAAACAAAAACATCCCCCGTGTAGCCTTAACAGACTGTAGGGGCAAGTGCTGTTAGCTAGCACCTATGAAGGCCGGAACGGCAACACGAGGGGGTGGGTGACCACCAGCACCACCAATCCCGGCCGCCTTTGTCTCTCCCCCAGTGCTAGCGATGTTCACTACTACACTACACCACCGCTACACCAGCTACTCGTTTGAGGCTGAGTCGACCTAGAGGGAGGCCCAGGACCGGTTCAGATAATCGCTGTCACTGGCACCTGAGCGGGCCTTCTGCACGCCATGCGACAACCTCGAAGTGAACCCAGCCTGGCACACAGCACCACGTGACCACCATGCAGCGGCATCATCATCATCAGCAGTCTCATCAGCGGCATCATCAGCAGCAGTCTCATCAGCGGCATCATCAGCAGCAGTCTCATCAGCGGCATCATCATCATCAGCAGCAGTCTCATCAGCGGCATCGTCATCAGCTGCAGCAGTTGCAGCAGCATCAGCTGCAGCAGCATCAGCATCATCATCAGCAGTCTCATCAGCATCATCAGCGGCAGAAGCATCATCATCGTGAGCAGCATTATGAGCAACATCAGCTTCATCAGCAGCATCATCATCAGTACTATCAGCAGCATCATGAGTAGTATCAGCATCATGAGTAGTATCACCATCATTAATCATCCGCAGTATCATCAGCATCAGCAGTATCATCAGCTTCATCAGCAGTATCATCATCATGAACAGCAGCAGCATCATCATCGGCTTCATCATCATCATCGGCTTCATCATCAGCTTCATCATCAGCATCATCATCAGCTTCATCATCAGCATCATCAACATCACCACCACCAACATCACCAGCGCCACAAGCAGTGTCCTCGTGGCCGCCATCGTCGTCATCACCAGGCGTGTGGGGTGCGTCCACCTGGTTTGAGGGCAGCCTCGAGGCCCGTGTAGTAGGCGGTGTTCTCGGGGTTACGGTCGAGCAGGGAGCGGTACACCTGGGACGCCTCCTCGAACAGACACAGCTTGAGGCACAGCTCACCTGCACGCAGGACGAGACGCGGACACGTCACTGACGGGCGCGCAGACACGTCACTCACACAGACACGTCACTCACACAGACACGTCACTCACACAGACACGTCACACACAGACACGTCACTCACACAGACACGTCACTCACAGACACGTCACACACACAGACACGTCACTCACAGACATGTCACACACACAGACACGTCACACACACAGACACGTCACTCACAGACACGTCACTCACACAGACACGTCACTCACAGACATGTCACTCACAGACACGTCACACACACGCACAGACACGTCACTCACAGACACGTCACACACACGCACAGACACGTCACTCACAGACACGTCACACACACAGACACGTCACTCACAGACATGTCACTCACAGACACGTCACACACACGCACAGACACGTCACTCACACACAGACACGTCACACACACGCACAGACACGTCACTCAGACACGTCACACACAGACACGTCACTCACAGACACGTCACTCACAGACACGTCACACACACGCACAGACACGTCACTCACAGACACGTCACACACACGCACAGACACGTCACTCACAGACACGTCACTCACAGACACGTCACACACACGCACAGACACGTCACTCACAGACACGTCACTCACAGACACGTCACACACACGCACAGACACGTCACTCACAGACACGTCACTCACAGACACGTCACACACAGACACGTCACTCACACAGACACGTCACTCACAGACACGTCACACACAGACACGTCACACACAGACACGTCACACACATAGACACGTCACACACACGCACACACACAGACACGTCACTCACACACACAGACACGTCACTCAGACACACAGACACGTTACTCACACACAGACACGTCACTCACACACAGACACGTCACTCACACACACAGACACGTCACTCACACACACAGACACGTCACTCACACACAGACACGTCACTCACACACATACAGACACGTCACTCACACACAGACACGTCACTCACACACACACAGACACGTCACTCACACACAGACACGTCACTCACACACACAGACACGTCACTCACTCACACACAGACACGTCACTCACACACAGACACGTCACTCACACACACACAGACACGTCACTCACACACACACAGACACGTCACTCACACACACACAGACACGTCACTCACACACACAGACACGTCACTCACACACACACAGACACGTCACACACACACACAGACACGTCACTCACACACACAGACACGTCACTCACACACAGACACGTCACACACACACACAGACACGTCACTCACACACACAGACACGTCACTCACACATACAGACACAGACACGTCACTCACACACACACAGACACGTCACACACACACACAGACACAGACACGTCACTCACACACACAGACACGTCACTCACACACACACACAGACACGTCACACACACACAGACACGTCACTCACACACACACAGACACGTCACTCACACACACACAGACACGTCACTCACACACACAGACACGTCACTCACACACACACAGACACGTCACTCACACACAGACACGTCACTCACACACACACAGACACGTCACTCACACACACAGACACGTCACTCACACATACAGACACGTCACTCACACACACACAGACACGTCACACGCACACACAGACACGTCACTCACACACAGACACGTCACTCACACACACAGACACGTCACACACACACACAGACACGTCACACTCACACACAGACACGTCACACACACTCACACACACAGACACGTCACTCACACACACAGACACGTCACTCACACACAGACACGTCACTCACACATACAGACACGTCACTCACACACACAGACACGTCACTCACACACAGACACGTCACTCACACACACAGACACGTCACTCACACACACAGACACGTCACTCACACACAGACACGTCACTCACACACAGACACGTCACTCACACACAGACACGTCACTCACACACACAGACACGTCACTCACACACAGACACGTCACACACACACAGACACGTCACTCACACACACAGACACGTCACTCACACACACACAGACACGTCACTCACAGACACGTCACACACACACACAGACACGTCACTCACACACACAGACACGTCACTCACACACACACAGACACGTCACACACACACACACAGACACGTCACTCACACACACAGACAAGTCACTCACACACACACAGACAAGTCACTCACACACAGACACGTCACTCACACACACAGACACGTCACTCACACACACAGACACGTCACTCACACACAGACACGTCACTCACACACACAGACACGTCACACACACACACAGACACGTCACTCACACACAGACACACTCACCACTCACCCCCTACACTCACCACTCACCTCCCCACTCACCACTCACCCCCCCCCCCACTCACCCCATACACCCACCCACTTATCCTCACCACTCACCCCCTACACTCACCACTCACCCTCACCACTCACCCCCTACACTCACCCCCCACACTCACCCACTCACCCCTGAACTCCTGCACTGAGAGCTTGTCACAGATGTGTTTCTCGTGCGAGTCCAGGTGGGTGAGTGCCTCTCTCCACTCACCACTCACCCTCACCACTCACCCCCCACACTCACCACTCACCCTCTCACCACTCACCCCCCACACTCACCCCTGAACTCCTGCACGGAGAGCTTGTCACAGATGTGCTTCTCGTGCGAGTCCAGGTGGGTGAGTGCCTCTCTCCACTCACCACTCACCCCCCACACTCACCACTCACCCTCACCACTCACCACTCACCCCCCACACTCACCCACTCACCCCCCACACTCACCACTCACCCTCACCACTCACCACTCACCACTCACCCTCACCACTCACCCCCCACACTCACCACTCACCCCCCACACTCACCCCTGAACTCCTGCACGGAGAGCTTGTCACAGATGTGCTTCTCGTGCGAGTCCAGGTGGGTGAGTGCCTCTCTCCACTCACCCTCACCACTCACCCACTCACCCCCCACACTCACCCTCTCACCACTCACCCCCCACACTCACCCCTGAACTCCTGCACGGAGAGCTTGTCACAGATGTGCTTCTCGTGCGAGTCCAGGTGGGTGAGTGCCTCTCTCCACTCACCACTCACCCTCACCCCCCACACTCACCACTCACCCCCCACACTCACCACTCACCCTCACCACTCACCCCCCACACTCACCACTCACCACTCACCCCCCACACTCACCCCTGAACTCCTGCACGGAGAGCTTGTCACAGATGTGCTTCTCGTGCGAGTCCAGGTGGGTGAGTGCCTCTCTCCACTCACCACTCACCCTCACCCCCCACACTCACCACTCACCCCCCACACTCACCACTCACCCTCACCACTCACCCCCCACACTCACCCCTGAACTCCTGCACGGAGAGCTTGTCACAGATGTGCTTCTCGTGCGAGTCCAGGTGGGTGAGTGCCTCTCTCCACTCACCACTCACCACTCACCCCCCACCCTCACCACTCACCCCCCACACTCACCACTCACCCCCCACACTCACCACTCACCCTCACCACTCACCCCCCACACTCACCACTCACCACTCACCCCCCACACTCACCCCTGAACTCCTGCACGGAGAGCTTGTCACAGATGTGCTTCTCGTGCGAGTCCAGGTGGGTGAGTGCCTCTCTCCACTCACCACTCACCACTCACCCCCCACACTCACCACTCACCCCCCACACTCACCACTCACCCTCACCACTCACCCCCCACACTCACCACTCACCACTCACCCCCCACACTCACCCCTGAACTCCTGCACGGAGAGCTTGTCACAGATGTGCTTCTCGTGCGAGTCCAGGTGGGTGAGTGCCTCTCTCCACTCACCACTCACCACTCACCCCCCACACTCACCACTCACCCCCCACACTCTCCACTCACCCTCACCACTCACCCCCCACACTCACCACTCACCCTCACCACTCACCCCCCACACTCACCCCTGAACTCCTGCACGGAGAGCTTGTCACAGATGTGCTTCTCGTGCGAGTCCAGGTGGGTGAGTGCCTCTCTCCACTCACCACTCACCCTCACCACTCACCACTCACCCTCACCACCCCCCACACTCACCACTCACCACTCACCCCCCACACTCACCCCTGAACTCCTGCACGGAGAGCTTGTCACAGATGTGCTTCTCGTGCGAGTCCAGGTGGGTGAGTGCCTCTCTCCACTCACCACTCACCACTCACCCCCCACACTCACCACTCACCCCCCACACTCTCCACTCACCCTCACCACTCACCCCCCACACTCACCACTCACCCTCACCACTCACCCCCCACACTCACCCCTGAACTCCTGCACGGAGAGCTTGTCACAGATGTGCTTCTCGTGCGAGTCCAGGTGGGTGAGTGCCTCTCTCCACTCACCCTCACCACTCACCCACTCACCCCCCACACTCACCCCCCACACTCACCACTCACCCTCACCACTCACCCTCACACTCACCCACTCACCCCCCACACTCACCCCTGAACTCCTGCACGGAGAGCTTGTCACAGATGTGCTTCTCGTGCGAGTCCAGGTGGGTGAGTGCCTCTCTCCACTCACCCTCACCACTCACCCACTCACCCCCCACACTCACCCCCCACACTCACCACTCACCCTCACCACTCACCCTCACACTCACCCACTCACCCCCCACACTCACCCCTGAACTCCTGCACGGAGAGCTTGTCACAGATGTGCTTCTCGTGCGAGTCCAGGTGGGTGAGTGCCTCTCTCCACTCACCCTCACCACTCACCCACTCACCCCCCACACTCACCCACTCACCCCCCACACTCACCCCCCACACTCACCACTCACCCTCACCACTCACCCCTGAACTCCTGCACGGAGAGCTTGTCACAGATGTGCTTCTCGTGCGAGTCCAGGTGGGTGAGTGCCTCTCTCCACTCACCCTCACCACTCACCCACTCACCCCCCACACTCACCACTCACCACTCACCCCCCACACTCACCACTCACCCTCACCACTCACCCCTGAACTCCTGCACGGAGAGCTTGTCACAGATGTGCTTCTCGTGCGAGTCCAGGTGGGTGAGTGCCTCTCTCCACTCACCCTCACCACTCACCCACTCACCCCCCACACTCACCCCCCACACTCACCACTCACCCTCACCACTCACCCTCACACTCACCCACTCACCCCCCACACTCACCCCTGAACTCCTGCACGGAGAGCTTGTCACAGATGTGCTTCTCGTGCGAGTCCAGGTGGGTGAGTGCCTCTCTCCACTCACCCTCACCACTCACCCACTCACCCCCCACACTCACCACTCACCACTCACCCCCCACACTCACCACTCACCCTCACCACTCACCCCTGAACTCCTGCACGGAGAGCTTGTCACAGATGTGCTTCTCGTGCGAGTCCAGGTGGGTGAGTGCCTCTCTCCACTTGCTCGCCTCCCTCAGCACCTCCACCTGGTAGAGCAGCAGCTCCGACAGCTCGTAGTCCACCTTGTTAGGCGTCACCTGGGCAACCCCGGGGGAGCGGGGGGGGGGGGTGGACAATCATTGGTGGATACTCGGGGGGTGTGGTGTAGGTGGGGTGGACAATCATGGGTGGACAATCATTGGTGGATACTCGGGGGGTGTGGTGTAGGTGGGGTGGACAATCATTAGTGGATACTCGGGGGGGTGGGGTGTGGTGTAGGTGGGGGTGGACAACCATGGGTGGACAACCATGGGTGGACAACCATGGGTGGACAATCATTGGTGGACAATCATTGGTGGACAATCATTGGTGGACAATCATTGGTCAATACTCGGGGTGGGAGTGTGGTTTAGGTGGGGTGGACAACCATGGGGGGACAATCATTGATCAATACTCAGGGTGGGGGAGTGTGGTGTTGGTGGGGTGGACAACCATGGGTGGACAATCATGGGTGGACAATCATTGGTGAATACTCGGGGGGGTGGGAGGGGGTGTGGTGTAGGTGGGGTGGACAATCATGGGTGAACAATAATTGGTCAATACTCTGGGGGGGAGTGTGGTGTAGGTGGGGTGGACAACCATGGGGGGACAATCATTGATCAATACTCAGGGTGGGGGAGTGTGGTGTTGGTGGGGTGGACAATCATGGGTGGACAATCATTGCTCAATACTCTGGGGTGGGGGAGTGTGGTGTAGGTGGGGTGGACAATCATTGGTCAATACTCAGGGTGGGGGAGTGTGGTGTAGGTGGGGTGGACAACCATGGGTGGATAATCATTGGTCAATACTCAGGGTGGGTGGGGGTGGGAGTGTGGTGTAGGTGGGGTGGACAACCATGGGTGGACAATAATTGGTCAATACTCTGGGGTGGGGGGGGGTGGTGTGTGGTGTAGGTGGGGTGGACCACCATGGGTGGACAATCATTGGTCAATACTCTGGGGTGGGGGAGTGTGGTGTAGGTGGGGTGGACAACCATGGGTGGACAATCATTGATCAATACTCAGGGTGGGGGAGTGTGGTGTTGGTGGGGTGGACAATCATTTGGTCAATACTCGGGGTGGGAGTGTGGTGTTGGTGGGGTGGACAACCATGGGTGGACAATCATTGGTCAATACTCTGGGGTGGGTGGGGGGAGTGTGGTGTAGGTGGGGTGGACAACCATGGGTGGACAACCATTGGTGGACAACCATGGGTGGACAACCATGGGTGGACAATCATGGGTGGACAATCATTGGTGGACAACCATGGGTGGACAATCATTGGTCAATACTCTGGGGTGGGTGGGGGGGTGTGGTGTAGGTGGGGTGGACAACCATGGGTGGACAACCATTGGTGGACAATCATTGGTGGACAACCATGGGTGGACAACCATTGGTGGACACACTCCTCCCCCCGCGCCCCGACCCACCTGCTGCGTCTTGCGGAACTCGTCCAAGATTTGCAGCGCCATATCGTGGTCCCGTAGGTGGTGGTAGGCAATGGCGTAGCCAATCCACGAGGCCCTCTGGCCGGGCCGCAGCTGCAGCAGCTGATAGCGCGTCTCCTGCGACGTCAACCACGGGGGTGGGTGAGGGGGGTGAGGGGGGTGAGCGGGGGGTGAGGGGGGTTAGGGGGGGTGAGGGGGGGTGAGGGGGGTGAGGAGGGGGGTGAGGGGGGTGAGGGGGGGTGAGGGGGAGGCGATTAAACCACGGGTGACCCCCCCACCACACCCCCACGTCTCCCCCCACCCCACCCACCCCACCCACCACCACCACCAACCCCACCCACAGCAGCGTGCCACCACAACCAAACACAGACAAAGGTCCCCCGTGTAGCCTCTAGCAGGCTGTAGGGGCAAGTGCTGTTAGTAGCAGCAGCAGTGTCTATGAAGGTAGACACAGAAAAAGGTCCCCCGTGTAGCCTCTAGCAGGCTGTAGGGGCAAGTGCTGTTGGTAGTAGCAGTGTCTATGAAGGTAGACACAGACAAAGGTCCCCCGTGTAGCCTCTAGCAGGCTGTAGGGGCAAGTGCTGTTGGTAGTAGCAGTGTCTATGAAGGTAGACACAGACAAAGGTCCCCCGTGTAGCCTCTAGCAGGCTGTAGGGGCAAGTGCTGTTAGTGGTAGCAGCGTCTATGAAGGTAGACACAGACAAAGGTCCCCCGTGTAGCCTCTAGCAGGCTGTAGGGGCAAGTGCTGTTGGTAGTAGCGGCAGTGTCTATGAAGGTAGACACAGACAAAGGTTCACCGTGTAGCCTCTAGCAGGCTGTAGGGGCAAGTGCTGTTAGTGGCGAGTAGCAGTGTCTATGAAGGTAGACACAAAGGTCCCCCGTGAAGCCTCTAGCAGGCTGTAGGGGCAAGTGCTGTTGGTAGTAGCAGTGTCTATGAAGGTAGACACAGACAAAGGTCCCCCGTGTAGCCTCAAGCAGGCTGTAGGGGCAAGTGCTGTTAGTAGCGAGTAGCAGCAGCAGTGTCTATGAAGGTAGACACAGACAAAGGTCCCCCGTGTAGCCTCTAGCAGGCTGTAGGGGCAAGTGCTGTTGGTAGTAGCGAGTAGCAGCAGCGTCTATGAAGGTAGACACAGACAAAGGTCCCCCGTGTAGCCTCTAGCAGGCTGTAGGGGCAAGTGCTGTTGGTAGAAGCAGCGTCTATGAAGGTAGACACAGACAAAGGTCCCCCGTGTAGCCTCTTGCAGGCTGTAGGGGCAAGTGCTGTTGGTAGTAGCGAGTAGCAGCAGCAGCGTCTATGAAGGTAGACACAGACAAAGGTCCCCCGTGTAGCCTCTAGCAGGCTGTAGGGGCAAGTGCTGTTGGTAGAAGCGGTGTCTATGAAGGTAGACACAGACAAAGGTCCCCCGTGTAGCCTCTAGCAGGCTGTAGGGGCAAGTGCTGTCAGCAGCAGCGCTACCTATGAAGGCTACCGGCACTGTGGCACACACAGAGGGGGTGGGTGGCCAGCACCACCACGCCCGGCCGCCTTTGTCTCTCCCTCAGTGCAGCAAAGTTTTACTGCTCCACCACCGCTACACCAGCTACTCGCTTGAGGCTGAGTCGACCTAGGGGAGGCCCAGGACCGGTTCAGATAAACTCGTCACCGATTTTGGCCGCGAGCGGAAATCAAACTCGGGTCACTACGACACCACCACCACAACCACCACCACCACAAACACCACCACAAACACAAACACCACCACCACAACCACCACCACAAACACCACCACAGCCACCACCACAACTACCACCACCACAAACACCACAAACACCACCACCACAAACACCACAACTACCACCACCACAACCACCACACCCACCACCACCACTACAACCACTACAACTACCACCACAACCACCACAACCACCACTCCCCACCACCACAACCACCACAAACACCACTACCACCACCACCACCACCATCACCACTACTACCACTACTACTACCACCACCACACACCACCACCACAACTACCACCACAAATACAACCACCACAAACACAACTACCACCACAACCACCACCACACCCACCACCACCACCGCACCCACCACCACCACAAATACAACCACCACCACAACTACCACACACCACCACCACAAACACCACAACCACACACCACCACCACCACACACCACCACAACTACCACACACCACCACCACACACACACCACACACCACCACGGTGTTACCCGGTATCCCTCCAGATCCCTCATCTGAATCTGCAGCAGCGAGAGGTCACGGAGGATCTGCAGGTTGTCGCGGTCCCACTTGAGCGCGTTGCGGTAGCACTTGATGGCCACCACCACAACCACCACCACCACCACACCACCACCACACCACCACACACCACAACCACACACCACACACCACCACCACCACACACCACAACCACACACCACCACCACCACACACCACAACCACACACCACCACCACCACCCCCACCACCATCACCACACACCACCACACACCCACCACCACCACACACCCACCACCACCACACGCCACCACCACCACACACCACACACCACCACCACACACCCACACACCACAACCACCACACACCACCACCACCACTACAACTACCACCACACACCACCACAACCACACACCACCACAACCACACACCACAACCACACACCACCACCACGGTGTTACCCGGTATCCCTCCAGATCCCTCATCTGAATCTGCAGCAGCGAGAGGTCACGGAGGATCTGCAGGTTGTCGCGGTCCCACTTGAGCGCGTTGCGGTAGCACTTGATGGCCACCACCACAACCACCACCACCATCATCACCACACACCACCACAACCACACACCACCACAACCACCACCACCACCACAACCACACACCACCACAACCACCACCACCATCACCACACACCACCACACACCACACACCACCACACACCACCACACACCACCACACACCACCACCACACACCACCACGGTGTTACCCGGTATCCCTCCAGATCCCTCATCTGAATCTGCAGCAGCGAGAGGTCACGGAGGATCTGCAGGTTGTCGCGGTCCCACTTGAGCGCGTTGCGGTAGCACTTGATGGCCACCACCACAACCACACACCACCACACACCACCACACACCACCACACACCACCACCACACACCACCACGGTGTTACCCGGTATCCCTCCAGATCCCTCATCTGAATCTGCAGCAGCGAGAGGTCACGGAGGATCTGCAGGTTGTCGCGGTCCCACTTGAGCGCGTTGCGGTAGCACTTGATGGCCTCGTCATATTTCTTGTCCGAGCGCTGCAGCAGCCCGTACACGTGCCAGCCTGCGGCGGCGGCGGTGGTGGTGGTGGTGGAGGTGGTGGTGGCGCGGGACAACGACCCCGGCACGCGGCGACGACGACGACAACAACAACAAACACAACCACAACAACAACAAGAACCACAACAACAAGAACCACAACAACAACAAGAACCACAACAACAACAAGAACCACAACAACAAGAACCACAACAACAACAACAAACACAGCAACAACAACAACAAACACAACAACAACAAGAACCACAACAACAAGAACCACAACAACAACCACAGCAACAACAACAACAACCACAACAACAAGAACCACAACAACCACAGCAACAACAAGAACCACAACAACAACCACAGCAACAACAAGAACCACAACAACAACAAGAACCACAACAACAACAACCATAACAACAACCACAGCAACAACAAGAACCACAACAACAACCATAACAAGAACAACCACAGCAACAACAAGAACCACAACAACAACCATAACAACAACCACAGCAACAACAACAACCATAACAACAACCACAACAACAACCACAGCAACAACAAGAACCACAACAACAACCATAACAACCACAACCACAGCAACAACAAGAACCACAACAACAACCATAACAAGAACAACCACAACAACAACAACAAACACAGCAACAACAACAACAAACACAACAACAACAACAACAAGAACCACAACAACAAGAACCACAACAACAACCACAGCAACAACAACAACAAGAACCACAACAACAAGAACCACAACAACAACCACAGCAACAACAAGAACCACAACAACAACCACAGCAACAACAAGAACCACAACAACAACAAGAACCACAACAACAACAACCATAACAACAACCACAACCACAGCAACAACAAGAACCACAACAACAACCATAACAAGAACAACCACAGCAACAACAAGAACCACAACAACAACCATAACAACAACCACAACCACAGCAACAACAAGAACCACAACAACAACCATAACAACAACCACAACAACAACCACAGCAACAACAAGAACCACAACAACAACCATAACAACCACAACCACAGCAACAACAAGAACCACAACAACAACCATAACAAGAACAACCACAGCAACAACAACAACCACAACAACAACCATAACAACAACCACAGCAACAAGAACCACAACATCAACCACAGCAACAACAAACACAGTAACGACAACAACCACAGAAAGAGCCACAACAACAAACACAGCAACAACAGCCACCACAACAACCACAACAGCCACCACAACAGCCACCACAACAACCACCACAACAACCACAGCAACCACAGCAACCACAGCAAACACGGCCACAACCGCCATTATGGGAGCAGGGGTTAAGGAAAAACGAGGTCTGTGTACTACAGGCAACAACAACAACCACAACAACAACCACAACAACAACAACAACCACAACAATCGACTGTCCCGCTGTGCACCAATCGCCTGTCCCCGCTGTCCACCAATCACATGTCCCCACTGTCCACCAATCGCCTGTCCCCGCTGTCCACCAATCAAATGTCCCCGCTGTCCACCAATCAAATGTCCCCGCTGTCCACCAATCACATTTCCCCGCTGTCCACCAATCGCCTGTCCCCGCTGTCCACCAATCAAATGTCCCCGCTGTCCACCAATCACCTGTCCCCGCTGTGCACCAATCACCTGTCCCGCTGTCCACCAATCACCTGTCCCCGCTATGCACCAATCACCTATCCCCGCTGTCCACCAATCACCTGTCCCCGCTGTGCACCAATCACCTGTCCCCGCTGTGCACCAATCACCTGTCCCGCTGTCCACCAATCACCTGTCCCGCTGTGCACCAATCACCTGTCCCCACTGTCCACCAATCACCTGTCCCGCTGTGCACCAATCACCTGTCCCGCTGTCCACCAATCACATGTCCCGCTGTGCACCAATCACCTGTCCCCACTGTCCAACAATCAACTATCCCGCTGTGCACCAATCACCTGTCTGTGCACCAATCACGTTCCAATGTCCACCTATCACCTGTCCCCGCTGTCCACCAATCACCTGTCCCCACTGTGCACCAATCGCTGTCCACTAGCGTGAATGAGTGAGTGAGTGCGTGAGTGAGTGGGTGGGTGAGTGAGTGAGTGAGTGGGTGCGTGAGTGAGTGAGTGCGTGAGTGAGTGAGTGCGTGAGTGAGGCTATATGGGGGATCTTTGTTGCGTGAGTGCGTGCGTGAGTGCGTGATTGAGTGCGTGAGTGAGTACGTGAGTGAGTGAGTGGGTGAGTGAGTGAGTGGGTGAGTACGTGAGTGAGTGAGTGGGTGAGTGAGTGCGTGACTGAGTGTGTGAGTGAGTGTGTGAGCGAGTGAGTGCGTGAGTGAGTACGTGAGTGAGTGAGCGTGTGAGCGAGCGACCGTGCGTGTGAGCGAGCGTGTGAGCGCGTGAGTGGGTGAGTGCGTGAGCGAGCGTGAGTGAGTGTGTGTGAGCGAGTGTGAGTGAGCGTGTGTGTGAGCGAGTGAGCGAGTGTGAGTGAGTGTGTGTGTGAGTGAGTGTGTAAATGAGTGTGTGTGTGTGTGAGTGTGTGAGTGAGTGTGAGTGTGTGTGTGAGTGAGTGTGTGTGAGTGTGTGAGCGAGTGTGTGAGTGTGAGCGAGTGTGAGTGTGAGCGAGTGTGAGTGTGAGCGAGTGTGAGTGAGCGAGTGTGTGTGTGAGTGAGTGTGTGAGTGAGTGAGTGTGTGAGTGAGTGTGTGAGTGAGTGAGTGTGTGAGTGAGTGAGTGTGTGAGTGAGTGAGTGTGTGAGTGAGTGTGTGAGTGAGTGTGTGCGAGTGAGTGAGTGTGTGTGTGAGTGTGTGTGAGTGAGTGTGTGAGTGTGTGAGTGTGTGTGTGAGTGTGTGTGTGAGTGTGTGTGTATGTGTGTGTGTGAGTGAGTGTGTGTGTGAGTGTGTGTGTGAGTGAGTGTGTGTGTGAGTGTGTGTGTGAGTGAGTGTGTGTGTGAGTGTGTGTGTGAGTGTGTGTGAGTGTGTGTGTGAGTGAGCGAGTGTGTGTGTGAGCGAGTGTGTGTGTGAGTGAGTGTGTGAGCGAGCGAGCGTGTGAGTGAGCGAGTGTGTGTGTGAGCGAGTGTGTGAGTGAGTGTGTGTGAGTGAGTGTGTGAGCGAGCGAGTGTGAGTGAGCGAGTGTATGAGTGAGTGTGTGTGTGAGCGAGTGTGTGAGTGAGCGAGCGTGTGAGCGAGTGTGTGTGTGAGTGTGTGAGTGAGTGTGTGTGTGAGTGAGCGAGTGTGAGTGAGTGTGTGAGCGAGTGTGTGAGTGAGCGAGCGTGAGTGAGTGTGTGTGTGAGCGAGCGAGTGTGTGAGTGAGCGAGTGTGAGTGGGGGAGCGTGTGAGTGAGCGAGTGTGTGTGTGAGTGTGTGTGTGAGTGAGTGTGTGAGTGAGTGTGTGTGTGAGTGTGTGAGTGAGTGTGTGTGTGAGTGTGTGTGTGTGTGAGTGAGTGTGTGAGTGAGTGTGTGAGTGAGCGAGTGTGTGAGTGAGCGAGCGAGTGTGTGTGTGAGTGAGTGTGTGTGTGAGTGAGTGTGTGAGTGAGTGTGTGTGTGAGTGAGCGAGTGTGTGTGTGTGTGAGTGAGCGAGTGTGTGTGTGTGAGTGTGTGTGAGTGAGTGTGTGAGCGAGTGAGTGTGTGTGTGAGTGAGTGTGTGAGCGAGTGAGTGTGTGTGTGAGCGAGCGAGTGTGAGTGAGCGAGTGTGAGTGAGTGAGCGAGCGTGTGAGTGAGTGAGCGAGTGTGTGTGTGAGTGTGTGAGTGAGTGTGTGAGTGTGTGTGTGTGAGTGAGTGTGTGTGTGAGTGTATGAGTGAGCGTGTGTGTGAGTGAGTGTGTGAGTGAGTGTGTGAGTGAGTGAGTGTATGAGTGAGTGTGTGAGTGAGCGAGTGTGTGAGTGAGCGAGCGTGAGTGAGTGTGTGTGTGAGTGAGCGAGTGTGTGTGTGTGTGAGTGAGTGTGTGTGTGAGCGAGCGAGTGTGAGTGAGTGTGAGTGTGTGAGTGAGTGTGTGAGTGAGTGTGTGTGTGAGTGTGTGTGTGTGAGTGAGTGAGTGTGTGTGTGAGCGAGTGTGTGAGTGAGCGAGCGAGTGTGTGTGTGAGTGAGTGTGTGTGTGAGTGAGTGTGTGTGTGAGTGAGTGAGTGAGCGAGTGTGAGTGAGTGTGAGTGTGTGTGTGAGTGTGTGAGCGAGTGAGCGAGTGTGTGTGTGTGAGTGTGTGAGTGCGTGAGCGAGCGTGAGTGAGTGTGTGTGAGCGAGTGTGAGTGAGCGAGCGTGTGAGCGAGTGTGTGTGTGTGAGTGAGTGTGTGTGTGAGTGTGTGTGTGAGTGAGCGAGTGTGTGAGTGAGCGAGTGAGTGAGCGAGTGTGAGTGAGCGAGCGAGTGTATGAGTGAGTGTGTGTGTGAGTGAGCGAGTGTGTGAGTGAGCGAGTGTGTGAGCGAGCGAGTGTGAGTGAGTGAGTGTGTGAGTGAGTGTGTGAGTGTGTGTGTGAGCGAGTGTGTGTGTGTGTGAGTGAGTGTGTGAGTGAGTGTGTGTGTGAGTGAGTGTGTGTGTGTGAGTGAGCGAGTGTGTGAGTGAGTGAGTGAGTGTGTGTGTGAGTGAGTGTGTGAGTGAGTGAGTGTGAGTGTGTGAGTGAGTGTGTGTGAGTGAGTGAGTGAGCGCGTGAGTGGGTGAGTGAGTGTGTGAGTGTGTGTGTGTGAGTGTGTGTGTGAGTGAGTGTGTGTGTGTGTGAGTGAGTGTGTGTGTGAGTGAGCGAGTGTGTGAGTGAGTGTGTGTGTGAGCGAGCGAGTGTGAGTGAGCGAGTGTATGAGTGTGTGTGTGTGAGCGAGTGTGTGTGAGCGAGTGTGAGTGAGTGTGCGAGCGTGAGTGTGAGTGAGTGTGCGAGCGTGAGTGAGTGTGTGTGTGCGAGCGTGAGTGAGTGTGTGAGTGAGTGTGCGAGCGTGAGTGAGTGAGTGAGCGAGCGAGCGAGCGACTGAGTAGAAGGATACAGACGTGGCTCTTGAGGTCGTTGCGCAGGCCGCGACGCACGTACTCATACGCCTCCTCCTTCTTGCCCACGCAGTTCAGCGTCAGTCCCTTCATGGCCAGCGTCTCTGTGGGCGGGTGGGCGGGCGAGTGGGTGAGCGGGCGGGCGAGCGGGAGAGTGGGTGAGCGGGCAAGTGGGTGGGCCGGTGAGTGGGCGAGCGAGCGGGCGGGAGAGTGGGTGAGCGGGAGAGTGGGTGAGCGGGCAAGTGGGTGGGTGAGTGGGTGGGTGAGCGGGCAAATGGGTGGGCGGGTGAGTGGGTGAGCGGGCGGGTGAGCGGGAGAGTGGGTGAGCGGGCAAGTGGGTGGGCCGGTGAGTGGGCGAGCGAGCGGGCGGGAGAGTGGGTGAGCGGGAGAGTGGGTGAGCGGGAGAGTGGGTGAGCGGGCAAGTGGGTGGGTGAGTGGGTGAGCGGGCAAATGGGTGGGCGGGTGAGTGGGTGAGCGGACGGGCGAGTGGGTGAGCGGGCGAATGGGTGGGCCGGTGAGTGGGTGAGCGGGCGGGAGAGTGGGTGAGCGGGCAAGTAGGTGGGTGGGCGAGTGGGTGGGCGGGTGAGTGGGTGGGCGGGTGAGTGGGTGGGCGGGTGAGTGGGCGGGTGAGTGGGGAAACGAGTGAGTGAGCGAGTGGGTGGGTGAGTGAGAAGGTGGGAGAGCGGTGGGCGAGCAGGTGGGTGGGTGAGCGGGTGAGTGAGTAGTTGAGTGGGCGGGCGGGCGAGTGGGTGTTCGGGTGAGTGGGTGGGCGGGTGACTGGGTGGGTGGGTGAGTGAGTGGGCGAGCGAGTGGGTGGGCGGGAGGGTGAGTAGGCGGGCGGGCGAGTCGGCGGGGCAGCGGGTGAGTGGGTAGGTGAGCGGGCGGGCGAACGGGTGAGTGGGTGGGCGGGTGAGTGGGTGGGAGAGTGGATGGGCGGGAGAGTGGGTGAGTGAGCAAGTGGGTGGGCGGGTGAGTGAGTGGGCAGGCGAACGGGTGGGCGGGTGGATGAGTGAGGAGGTAGGTGAGCGGGTGGGTGGGTGCGTGAGCAGGTGGGTGAGTGAGCGGACGAGTGGGTGAGCGGGTGGGTGAGCGAGCGGGTGGGTGAGCGAGCGGGTGGGTGAGCGAGCGGGTGGGCGAGTGGGTGAGCGGGTGGATGAGAGGAGGTGGGTGAGCGGGTGGGTGAGCGGACGACTGAGTGGGTAGGTGAGTGAGCGGGTGGATGAGTGAGGAGGTGGGTGAGCGGGTGGGTGAGTGAGCGGACGACTGAGTGGGTGAGCGAGTGAGTGAGTGGGTGAGCGGGTGGGTGAGCGAGCAGGCGGGTGAGTGGGTGAGCGAGCGGGCGGATGAGTGAGCGGGTGGGTGAGTGGGTGAGCGAGTGGGTGAGCGGGTGGATGAGTGAGGAGGTGGGTGAGCGGGTGGGTGGGTGCGTGAGCGGGCGGGTGAGTGAGCGGACGAGTGGGTGAGCGGGTGGGTGAGCGAGCGGGTGGGTGAGCGAGCGGGTGGGTGAGTGGGCGAGCGAGTGTGTGAGTGGGTGGATGAGTGAGGAGGTGGGTGAGCGGGTGGGTGAGTGAGCGGACGACTGAGTGGGTGGGTGAGTGAGCGGGTGGATGAGTGAGGAGGTGGGTGAGCGGGTGGGTGAGTGAGCGGACGACTGAGTGGGTGGGTGAGTGAGCGGGTGGATGAGTGAGGAGGTGGGTGAGCGGGTGGGTGAGTGAGCGGACGACTGAGTGGGTGGGTGAGCGAGCGAGTGAGCGGGTGGGTGAGCGAGCGGACGACTGAGTGGGTGGGTGAGCGAGTGAGTGAGCGGGTGGGTGAGCGAGCGTGGCTCACGGTGAGCCCCCTACCCCCGTGCTCGGAGAACTTGGGGTTGGTAAGGATCTGTTTGCAGAACTTGAGACCATTCTTGTACTGCTTCTGCTCGTAGCATTTCTGTGGAGACACACATCAGACTACAGCGTCAACTACAGCATCACACTACAGCATCACACTACAACATCAGACTACAGCATCAACTACAGCATCAACTACAACATCAACTACAGCATCAACTACAGCATCACACTACAGCATCACACTACAACATCAGACTACAGCGTCAACTACAGCATCACACTACATCATCAGACTATAGCATCAACTACAGCATCAACTACAGGATCAGACTATAGCATCAACTACAGCATCACACTACAACATCAGACTATAGCATCAACTACAGCATCACACTACAACATCAGACTACAGCATCAGACTATAGCATCAACTACAGCGTCAACTACAGCATCACACTACAACATCAGACTACAGCGTCAACTACAGCATCACACTACACAATCAACTATAGCATCAACTACAGCATCACACTACACAATCAACTATAGCATCAACTACAGCATCACACTACACAATCAACTACAGCATCACACTACAGCATCACACTACAACATCACACTACATCAGACTATAGCATCAACTACAGCATCACACTACAACATCAGACTACAGCATCAACTACAGCATCACACTACATCACACTACACACATCAGACTACAGCGTCAACTACAGCATCACACTACAACATCAGACTACAGCATCAACTACAGCACCACACAACACAATCACACTACAACATCACACTACAACATCAAACTATAGCATCAACTACAGCATCACACTACATCATCACACTACAACATCAGACTATAGCATCAACTACAACATCACACTACAGCATCACATGACAGCATCACACTACAGCATCAGACTACAGCATCACACTACACAATCAACTACAGCATCACACTACAACATTACACTACACAATCAACTACAGCATCAACTACAGCATCACACTACATCATCACACTACAACATCAGACTACACAATCAACTACAGCATCACACTACAACATCACACTACACAATCAACTACAGCATCAACTACAGCATCACACTATACAATCAACTACAGCATCAACTACAGTATCACACTACAACATCAGACTATAGCATCAACTACAGCATCACACTACAACATCAACTACAGAATCACACTACAACATCACACTACACACTCAACTACAGCATCAACTACAGCATCACACTACATCATCACACTACATCATCACACTACAACATCAACTACAGCATCACACTACAACATCACACTACACAATCAACTACAGCATCAACTACAGCATCAACTACAGCATCAGACTACAGCATCAACTACAGCATGGACTACAGCATCAGACTACATCACACTACACAATCAACTATAGCATCAACTACAACATCAGACTACAGCATCAACTACAGCATCACACTACACAATCAACTACAGCATCAACTACAGCATCACACTACATCATCACACTACAGCATCAACTACAGCATCAGACTACAGCATCAACTACAACATCAACTACACCATCAACTACAGCATCAGACTACACCATCTACAGCATCAGACTATAGCATCAGACTATAGCATCAACTACAGCATCAGACTACAACATCAACCACACAATCAACTACACAATCAACTATAGCATCGACTACAGCATCAACTACAGCATCAGACTACAGCATCAACTACAGCATCAACTACAGCATCAGACTACAGCATCTACTACAGCATCAGACTACAGCATCAACTACAGCATCAACTACAGCAGCAGACTACAGCATCAACTACAGCATCAACTACAGCATCAGACTAAAGCATCAACTACAGCATCGACTACAGCATCACACTACAACATCAACTACATCATCACACTACAACATCAACTACAGCATCAACTACAGCATCGACTACAGCATCACAATACACCATCAACTACAGCATCAACTACAGCATCAACTACAGCATCGACTACAGCAGCAGACTACACCATCGACTACAGCATCAACTACAGCATCGACTACAGCATCGACTACAGCATCGACTATAGCATCAACTACAGCAGCAGACTACAGCATCAACTACAGCATCAACTACAACATCAGACTACAGCATCAACTACAGCAGCAGACTACAACATCAGACTACAGCAGCAGCTACAGCATCAGACTACAGCATCAACTACAGCATCATACTACAGCAGCAGCTACAGCATCAACTACAACATCGACTACAGCATCAACTACAGCATCAGACTACAGCAGCAGCTACAGCATCAACTACAGCATCATACTACAGCAGCAGCTACAGCAGCAGCAGCTACAGCATCAACTACAGCATCGACGACAGCATCAACTACAGCAGCAGACTACAGCATCAACTACAGCATCAGCAGCTACAGCATCAACTACAGCATCAGCAGCTACAGCTATGACACAGCTGGATGTACAGGCGGCAAGGCGTGCTTGTTGGGTACAGTGTCGTGGGGGTGTGGTGATACATTCCAGTGTGGGGACGGCTGCTGCAGCAGCTGTTGTAACTACAGCTGCTGCTGTAGCTACAGCTGCTGCTGTAACTACAGCTGCTGTAGCTGCTACTGCTGTAGCTGCTACTGCTGCTGCAGCTGCTGTATCTGCTGTAGCTGCTGCTGGAGCTGCTGCTGTAGCTGCTGCTGTAGCTACAGCAGCAGCAGCTACAGCAGCAGCTACAGCAGCAGCTGCAGTAGCTGCTGCTGTAGCTACAGCAGCAGCAGCAGCTGCAGCAGCAGCTACAGCAGCAGCTGCAGTAGCTGCTGCTGTAGCTACTGCTGTAGCTACAGCAGCAGCTGCTGTAGCTGCTGCTGTAGCTGGTGCTGTAGCTGCTGCTACCACTGCTGCTGCTGTAGCTGCTGCAGCTGTAGCTGCTGTAGCTGCTGCTGCTGCTGTAGCTGCTGTAGCTACTGCTGCTGTAGCTGCTGCCTCTCTGTACCTCTGTGCCTCTATGCATCTCTATGAGTGTCTACGTATCTCTATGAATCTCTACGAGTTAACATCTCCAAGCCAGCGTGATGATGAGAGAGACGCAGACTCCAAATCTACAGCAGCAGCAGGCGTCGTCAGGGTCGGGATCGAACCCACGACCTCCTGTTTACCAGGCGAGGTAGTTAACATCTCCTAGCCTGGCCTGTGTTCTCAACTAGTGGGCGTTGCCCGAAACGTCGCCTATTATTTGGTACATCACAAAACAGTTAACGAAGATCCCCCAATACAGCTTGGGGTGGATAGACCCTGGCTGACGACGATGGTGATGGTGGAGTCTTGGAGAGACTTGATCCAGCAGTAGACAGACCCTGACCACTACTGATGATGATGGTGGTGATGGTGATGGAGGCTTGGAGGGAGATCTCATCCAGCAGTGGACAGACCCTGACCACTACTGATGATGATGGTGGAGGCGGGGGGGGGGGGGGGTGGAGATCTCATCCAGCAGTGGACAGACCCTGACCACTCCTGATGATGGTGGTGATGGTGGTGGCTTGGGGGGTGGAGATCTCATCCAGCAGTGGACAGACCCTGACCACTACTGATGGTGATGGTGGTGATGATAGTGGTGGTGGAGGCTTGGGGGGTGGAGATCTCATCCAGCAGTGGACAGACCCTGACCACTCCTGATGATGATGGTGGTGATGGCGGAGGTTTGGGGGTGGAGATCTCATCCAGCAGTGGACAGACCCTGACCACTCCTGAGGATGGTGATGATGGTGGTGGCTTGGGGGGTGGAGATCTCATCCAGCAGTGGACAGACCCTGACCACTACTGATGATGGTGGTGATGATGGTGGTGGCTTGGGGGGTGGAGATCTCATCCAGCAGTGGACAGACCCTGACCACTACTGATGATGGTGGTGATGGTGGTGGCTTGGGGGGTGGAGATCTCATCCAGCAGTCGACAGACCCTGACCACTCCTGATGATGATGGTGGAGGCTGGGGGGGGAGGGAGATCTCATCCAGCAGTGGACAGACCCTGACCACTCCTGATGATGGTGGAGGCTGGGGGGGAGGGAGATCTCATCCAGCAGTGGACAGACCCTGACCACTACTGATGATGATGGTGGTGATGGTGGTGGAGGCTTGGGGGTGGAGATCTCATCCAGCAGTGGACAGACCCTGACCACTCCTGATGATGGTGGTGATGGTGGTGGCTTGGGGGGTGGAGATCTCATCCAGCAGTCGACAGACCCTGACCACTCCTGATGATGATGGTGGAGGCTGGGGGGGGAGGGAGATCTCATCCAGCAGTGGACAGACCCTGACCACTACTGATGATGATGGTGGTGATGGTGGTGGAGGCTTGGGGGTGGAGATCTCATCCAGCAGTGGACAGACCCTGACCACTCCTGATGATGATGGTGGAGGCTGGGGGGGGAGATCTCATCCAGCAGTAGACAGACCCTGACCACTACTGATGATGATGGTGGTGATGGTGGTGGAGGCTTGGGGGTGGAGATCTCATCCAGCAGTGGACAGACCCTGACCACTACTGATGGTGATGGTGGTGGAGGCTGTGTCAAGAGGCACGCAACTGGGAATTCGGGGCCGGCCGGGCGGGCGGGCGAGTCCCCCCTACTAGGAACGTCTGTGATTTAAAAACAAAAATCAAAGAGCTTTATAGCTCATCGGATTCCTCCTGCGATCCCGGAATCTGGACACGCGAACCACCGCGTCGCACAGGCGGTGGCGGTGATGACCCACCCCCCCCTCACCCCACCCCCCATCGGCGACGTTCCGGGGAACGTGCCTCTCGCAACTTCAGAACGAGGTGGCGAGGTGGGTTCTGGGTGGGGTGATACAGTGGGGAGCGGTGGCGCTGCGGTTACCACCACCACCGCCACGAACCAACCAACCACCGAATATCCGAACCCTCCCCTAGGTCGACTCGGCCTCAAAATGAGCACCTGTGTGCGGCGGTACATGCGGGGAAAACGTCGCCACTGGGTAGAGAGACAAAGGCGGCCGGGCGTGCTGTCGGCCAACCCCACCCCATCCACCCCCTCGTGCGCCGTTCTGACCTTAATAGGTGCTGCTCGCTAACAGCAACTCGCCTCCCTACAGCCTGCTGGAGGCTACAGGGTGGACCGTCGTTTTGTCTGTGCGCTGCGTGTGTGTTGTGTGTTGTTGTGTGTGGGGGGGATACAAAGACGGCCGGGGCCTCGTGTGCACCACGGCGCCAGACAGCTTTCAAGAGGCTGCTGCAGCTCGCTACTTAACAGCAACTCGCCCCCCCCCCTACAGCCTGCTGGAGGCTACAGGGTGGACCGTCGTTTTGTCTGTGCGCTGCGTGTGTGTTGTGTTGTTGTTGTGTGTGGGGGGGATACAAAGACGGCCGGGGCCTCGTGTGCACCACGGCGCAGACAGCTTTCAAGAGGCTGCTGCAGCTCGCTACTTAACAGCAACTCGCCCCCCCTACAGCCTGCTGGAGGCTACAGGGTGGACCGTCGTTTTGTCTGTGCGCTGCGTGTGTTGTGTGTGGGGGGGGATACAAAGACGGCCGGGGCCTCGTGTGCACCACGGCGCCCGACAGCTTTCAAGAGGCTGCTGCAGCTCGTTACTTAACAGCAACTCGCCCCTACGCGGCTTATTTGTCCTTGAGGGAAATGCCGTCAGCCGCACATAAGAGAAAGTCAAGCTGGTTTGAGCAACGCGAGTTGTACACCATGATCATTGTGTTTTTTTGTAATGTTTGCAACCGTAAAGGCGTAATAATAAATCTAGTTTTAAATGCAACACCACACCCGGGCCCCGCCTCCACACAACCAACTAGGCCGCGGCCTAGCGCAACGGAGCCTGCCTCGACTAGCAAGGGCCAAGCTTACCAAAATCTTCTTGAACAGAGCGTTCTCTTTGGGAGGCAGCGTCACGGACGGCATTGCTGCTGCTGCTGCTGCTCCTCGTCGTCGTCTTCGTCGTCGTGAGCTGTTTGTTTGTGTTGTTGTTTGTTTGTTTGTAAAAGTTTAGGGGGCCGAGTGGCCTCGGAGCGGGAGACAGAGACACGAGGGAGACCCCAGCCGGCCCGTGGGCCCGAAGCAAGATGGCGGGCGGAGGGGGCGGGGGGGGCGGCAGAAAGAGGCGGAGTCTAAGTCGGAAGAGGCGGGGCGTGCGTGCGTGGGGGGGTGAGGGAGGAGAGTGGTGGGGGGGGCGAGTGAGGGAGGGGTGGGTGGGGGCGAGTGAGGGAGGGGTGGGTGGGGGCAGTGAGGGAGGGGTGGGTGGGGGCAGTGAGGGAGGGGTGGGTGGGGGCTAGTGAGGGAGGGGTGGGGGGGCGAGTGAGGGAGGGGTAGGGGCTAGACCGGAAGTGGTAGGGGGTAGGAGTGGGGGCTAAACCGGAAGCGGTGGGGGAGGAGGCGTGGGGGCTAGACCGGAAGCGGTGGGGGAGGAGGCGTGGGGTCTAGACCGGAAGCGGTGGGGGAGGAGGCGTGGGGTCTAGACCGGAAGCGGTGGGGGAGGAGGAGTGGGGGCTAGACCGGAAGCGGTGGGGGAGGAGGAGTGGGGTCTAGACCGGAAGCGGTGGGGGAGGAGGCGTGGGGTCTAGACCGGAAGCGGTGGGGGAGGAGGCGTGGGGTCTAGACCGGAAGCGGTGGGGGAGGAGGAGTGGGGTCTAGACCGGAAGCGGTGGGGGAGGAGGAGTGGGGTCTAGACCGGAAGCGGTAGGGGGGAGGAGTTGGGGCTAAACCGGAAGCGGTGGGGGAGGAGGCGTGGGGGCTAGACCGGAAGCGGTTGGGGAGGCTAGACCGGAAGCGATGAGGGGGGGGAATGGGGGCTAGACCGGAAGCGATGAGGGGGGAGGTGTGCGAGGGGGTAGACCGGAAGAGGCGGGGCATTTATCACGAAAAAGGAGGGGCTTACTCGCGCGTATGTAAATTTATGTTAATTAGCCACGCAATGCAACATGATAAACTACCCTGGAACGGATACTGCCGCTGCGTAAGCCGTGCAAAGACAAAGATCCCCCGTATAGCCTCTAGCAGGCTGTAGGGGCAAGTGCTGTTAGTGAGTAGCGAGTAGCAGCAGCAGTGTCTATGAAGGTCGACGCAGACAAAGGTCCCCCGTGTAGCCTCTAGCAGGCTGTAGGGGCAAGTGTTGTTAGTATTAGCGAGTAGCAGCAGCGGTGTCTATGAAGGTAGACACAGACAAAAGTCCCCCGTGTAGCCTCTAACAGGCTGCAGGGGCAAGTGCTGTTAGCGAGTAGCAGCAGCACATAGACACAGACAAAGGTCCCCCGTGTAGCCTCTTAACAGAGCTGTAGGGGCAAGTGCTGTTAGCGAGCAGCAGCACATAGACACAGACAAAGGTCCCCCGTGTAGCCTCTAACAGGCTGCAGGGGCAAGTGCTGTTAGCGAGTAGCAGCAGCACATAGACACAGACAAAGGTCCCCCGTATAGCCTGTTACAGACTGTAGGGGCAAGTGCTGTTAGCGAGTAGCACCTATGAAGGGCAGAACGGCACACGAGGGGGTGGGTGGCCAGCACCACCACCACGCCCGGCCGCCTTTGTCTCTCTCCCCCAGATGGCGATGTTTTACTACAGCAACCTCCATTCGCCACTAAGTGGCGGTGACGTCAACACGGCGCTTGTGCCAGGCTAGGTGCACGCTGAGGCCACGTGAAGTGTCGAACGCCCGCTGGCAGGAGGTCACGGGGCAGACCCAGCAGGTGCCTTGGGTCGACTGAGATGAGTGGCTGATGCACCACCAGCTGTAACCCCTATACTGTGCCAGGCTAGGTGCAGGTCTCGGAACTTAGATGACCTGTAGATGCACCACCAGCTGTAACCCCCATACTGTGCCAGGCTAGGTGCAGGAGGTCTCGGAACTTAGATGACCTGTAGATGCACCAACAGCTGTACCCCCCTACTGTGCCAGGCTAGGTGCAGGAGGTCTCGGAACATAGATGACCTATAGATGTACCACCAGCTGTAACCCCCCTACTGTGCCAGGCTAGGTGCAGGAGGTCTCGGAACCCACTCATCACACTCACTACAATCACTCATCACACACTCACTACAATCACACATCACACTCACTACACACTCATCACACACATCACACACACACTCACGCATCACACACACACTCACGCATCACACGCTCACTCATCACACTCATCACACACATCACACACACACACTCACGCATCACATGCTCACTCATCACACTCATCACAGACTCAATCATCACACTCATCACACACTCATCACACTCAACACACGCTCACTCATCACACACACTCATCACACTCACTACAATCACTCATCACACTCACTACACACTCATCACACACATCACACACTCACACTCATCACACACTCACTACAATCACTCATCACACTCCAACTGCCCAGTAGCGTCCTTCACGAGCCTCCTCCACAGAGGCCTATCTTGACACCGCTGGTACCAGTCTTCGGCAAGTCCACTCAGCTCCACGTCCTCCTGTACCACATCACTCCATCTCTTCTCTAGCCCGTGCCGCGCCTGTTTAGCCCCCTCGATCCGGCCGAACAAAAGCTGTTTGGGCATGCGGTGGCTGGGCATGCGGGCTACATGACCCAGCCAACGCAGCCTTGCCTGCCGGAGGAGCTCACCGATTGAACTTTGTCCAGATCTTTCAAGGATTTGTGAGCGCCTCACACAATCCAGCCTGGTTAAACCCAGGATTGATCGTAGGCAGGCCAGCCTAAATGTTTCTAACCGGTGAAGATGTTCCATTAGGAGGGTCCACGTTTCGCAAGCGTAGAGAAGGGAGGGAATGACCGTGGCCGAGAAGACCTGAAGCTTAGTGCGGAGCGACAGACCAGGTAGCTTCCACACAGCGTTACGCAACCAATGGAAAGATATTGCCGCTCGACTGATTCGGAGTGAGACCTCTGCTGTTAAACTGGAGCCAGTCATAAGCACACTGCCCAGGTATGGGAAACTCTCCACTCTCTCCACAACTTCCCCATCACCGATTGGGAGTTGTGGGGGTGGAGTGTCCGATGGTACAAAATACCCAGGCAGGTGCTTAGTTTTGGTGGGGCTGATGGTAAGGCCCCACCTCTTAGTGGCATGCTCCAGTCTCAGCAGCAGCGTCTTCAACTCCTCCGAATGTGCAGCTATTACCAAATCATCGGCATACATAACGTGGTTGAGCAATAGGGAGCCATCCCTTGACCGCACCCTGGCATCGATCAGCCTCCCATTATATCTGTACCAAATGGAGATTTCCCCGGTACAGCTATTGAAGGCTTCACGAACTACGTGGTCAAAATAGATGTTAAATAATGTGGGAGCCAGAGGGCATCCCTGTCGCACCCCAAGGTGTACAGGGAATGGCTCTGACTCCCAGCCCACGTAGTTTTACCCGGGCCCGCTCACCATCATGAAGGTCCTTAATGATCGTGAGCAGAGGGTCAGGGACTCCAAAAGCACGAAGAACAACCCAGAGCCCAGGCCTACTGATGGTATCATAGGCCTTGACCAGGTCAATAAAGCAGAGTTGTAGGTCTTGTTGGAATTCCCTACACCTCTGCTGTAGCAGACGGACAGAAAATATGGCATCTGTGCAGGACCGCCCTTTCCTGAAACCGCATTGGGGCTCCGCAAGCCTCTCCTCAGTGTGCCTGGCAAGGCGATGTTGAATAATCCTTGCCAGGACCTTTCCCGGCACACTAAGGAGTGAGATGCCCCTGTAGTTGTTACAGTCTGTGCGGTCCCCCTTCTTAAAGAGGGGGACCACCAGGGCATCCTTCCAATCTTGCGGAACCCATTCAGTGGTCCAGATTGTTGTTATGATGTCATATAGGGCAGTCTGTGCACAAACGCCACCCTACCTCAGCATTTCGCTTGGGAGATCATCTCCACCCGGTGCCTTTCCTGGTCTCAGACTCCGGATCGCCTTCAGTACTTCCTCAACAGATGGCACCTCCTCAACAGATGGCACCTCAGCCAGCCACTCACAGGGGGTGACTTCTTCCAATATTTGAGGCACTGCAGCCTCAGCAGGGTCATCCCCACTTTGTGCCACGATGTTTTCCTGGCTGAGGGATTTCCCCTCCCCCAGGACGTCACAGAAATGCTCAGCAAATCTGCAAACCTGTTCCTGGGGGTCGGAGATTGGATCACCGTTTTTCCCCTGATGGTAATAGGTGTGGTGCTGCAGGTTACTTTTTTGATGGGAGTTAAATAGAGATTTGTGATCGCGGGCCACTGAGGCAGACTCCATCTCCTCAGCAACCCGCGACCACCACCCATCCTTGCAGCGCCTCACGGCTCTCTGAACCTCCGAGCGAAGGCTGCGGTAAGCCTCCTCATTCTCTGACATGGGATTCTGTAGCCGATGACAGTGAGCCTGTCGCTTATTCTCAACTATCCTGAACACCTCCTCTGTCAGCCAGGGTCTCTGGGGAGGTCTGGACCGCGTACCCAAAGCAGCCAATGCAGCTGCATGAGTCACAGTCCTAAACCTCGCCCATTTACCCTCGACATCAGGAGTGGGGGACAATGCCAACCCCAGCCGCTAGCGATGATGAAATTCTTGCTTGCAACTTTCATCAGATAACTGAAACCAGGCCACTTTAGGTTGGAATGGGGTCCTGGGTGTACACCCACCACCGGAGTGGAAGAATGGCAGGCGCATCTTACAAATGACAAGTCGATGGTCAGAGGGCAGATCAGCTCCACGGAAGGTCCTGCACACACACACATCACTCGCACACACTCATATCACACACACACACTCAACACACATCACACACTCATCACACACACACTCATCACACACACTTGACACACACACATGACACACACTCATGACACACACACATGACACACACGCATCTCACACACTCATCATACACACACTCATCACACACACTCGACACACACACATGACACACACACATGACACACACACATCACACACACTCATCATACACACACTCATCACAAACACACACAACAGGTTCACAGCGAAGCGCGCTAACCACTGTGCCACCACTCCCCACGTGTTAAGGCCCCAGGCAAACAGAGTTCTGTGGTCTTCACACGGGACGCGTTGAGTAGAAAGTTTATTGTCTTGTGTGTGGGTGAGTGGGTGGGTTGGTGTGTGGGTGGGTGTGTGGGTGGGTGGGTGTGTGGGTGGGTGGGTGGGTGTGTGGGTGGGTGTGTGGGTGGGTGGGTGAGTGGGTGGGTGGGGGAGTGGGTGGGTGGGTGGGTGAGTGGGTAGGTGGGTGGGTGAGTGGGTAGGTGGGTGGGTGAGTGGGTAGGTGGGTGGGTGAGTGGGTAGGTGGGTGGGTGAGTGAGTGGGTGAGTGTGTGGGTGTGTGGGTGAGTGGCTGGGTGAGTCAGTGAGTTGTGGATGAGTGTGTGGGTGAGTGGCTGGGTGAGTCAGTGAATGTGTGGGTGAGTGTGTGGGTGTGTGGGTGAGTAGCTGAGTGAGTCAGTGAGTGTGTGGGTGAGTGTGTGGGTGTGTGGGTGAGTGGCTGAGTGAGTCAGTGAGTGTGTGGGTGTGTGGGTGAGTGGCTGGGTGAGTGTGTGGGTGAGTGTGTGGGTGAGTGTGTGGGTGAGTGTGTGGGTGAGTGTGTAGGTGAGTGGGTGAGTGTGTGGGTGAGTGGCTGAGTGAGTCAGTGAGTGTGTGGGTGAGTGTGTGGGTGTGTGGGTGAGTGTGTGGGTGAGTGTGTGGGTGAGTGTGTGGGTGAGTGTGTGGTTGAGTGTGTAGGTGAGTGGGTGAGTGTGTGGGTGAGTGTGTGGGTGTGTGTGTGAGTGAGTGGGTGTGTGTGTGAGTGAGTGGGTGAGTGAGTGGGTGAGTGTGTGAGTGAGTGTGTGGGTGTGTGGGTGAGTGGCTGGGTGAGTGGCTGAGTGAGTCAGTGAGTGTGTGGGTGAGTGTGTGGGTGTGTGGGTGAGTGGCTGGGTGAGTGTGTGGGTGAGTGTGTGGGTGAGTGTGTGGGCGTGTGTGTGAGTGAGTGGGTGAGTGTGTGGGTGAGTGGCTGGGTGAGTGTGTGGGTGAGTGTGTGGGTGAGTGTGTGGGCGTGTGTGTGAGTGAGTGGGTGAGTGTGTGAGTGATTGTGTGGGTGTGTGGGTGAGTGGCTGGGTGAGTGGCTGAGTGAGTCAGTGAGTGTGTGGGTGAGTGTGTGGGTGTGTGGGTGAGTGGCTGGGTGAGTGTGTGGGTGAGTGTGTGTGTGAGTGAGTGGGTGAGTGTGTGGGTGAGTGGCTGGGTGAGTCACAATGCATTTCCCACTCGGTCCCTCGGAATGAGTCTCAGCTCCGACCCGTGCTTTAGAAACACGTTTCCTGCACAACAACATCATCAGCAACATCATCATCAGCAGCAACATCATCAGCATCAACAACATCATCATCAGTAGCAGCAGCATCAACATCATCAGCAGCAGCAACAACAGTATCATCATCAGTAGCAGCAGCAGCATCAACATCATCATCAGCAACAACAGTATCATCATCATCAGCAACATCACCATCATCATCAGCAACAACATCACCATCGTCAGCAGCAACAACATCATCATCAGCAGCAACAACATTATCATCATCAGTAGCAGCATCAACAACATCATCATCAGCAGCAACAACATCATCATCATCAGTAGCAGCAGCAGCATCAACATCATCAGCAGCAACATCATCAGCAGCAACATCATCAGCAACAGCATCAGCAGCAACAACATCATTATCATCATCAGCAACAACATCATCATCATCAACAACATCATCAGCAACTGCATCAGCAATCTCACGGGGAGAGAGACGCAGACTCCAAATATACAGCAGCAGCAGGCATCGTCAGGGTCGGAATCGAACCCACGACCTCCTGTGTACCAGGCGAGGTAGTCAACATCTCTCAGTGTCTGGGATCAAACCCACGACCTCCTGTGTAGCAGGCGAGGTAGTCAACATCTCTCAGTGTCCGGGATCGAACCCACGACCTCCTGTGTACCTGGCGAGGTAGTAAACATCTCTCAGTGTCTGGGATTGAACCCACGACCGCCTGTGTACCAGGCGAGGTAGTCAACATCTCTCAGTGTCTGGGATCGAACCCACGACCTCATGTGTACCAGGCGAGGTAGTCAACATCTCTCAGTGTCTGGGATTGAACCCACGACCTCCTGTGTACCAGGCGAGGTAGTCAACATCTCTCAGTGTCTGGGATTGAACCCACGACCTCCTGTGTACCAGGCGAGGTAGTCAACATCTCTCAGTGTCTGGGATCGAACCCACGACCTCCTGTGCACCAGGCGAGGTAGTCAACATCTCTCAGTGTCTGGGATCGAACCCACGACCTCCTGTGTACCAGGCGAGGTAGTCAACATCTCTCAGTGTCTGGGATCGAACCCACGACCTCCTGTGCACCAGGCGAGGTAGTCAACATCTCTCAGTGTCTGGGATCGAACCCACGACCTCCTGTGTAGCAGGCGAGGTAGTCAACATCTCTCAGTGTCTGGGATCGAACCCACGACCTCATGTGTACCAGGCGAGGTAGTCAACATCTCTCAGTGTCTGGGATTGAACCCACGACCTCCTGTGTACCAGGCGAGGTAGTCAACATCTCTCAGTGCCTGGGATTGAACCCACGACCTCTTGTGTACCAGGCCAGGTAGTCAACATCTCTCAGTGTCTGGGATCGAACCCACGACCTCCTGTGTACCAGGCGAGGTAGTCAACATCTCTCAGTGTCTGGGATTGAACCCACGACCTCCTGTGTACCAGGCGAGGTAGTCAATATCTCTCAGTGTCTGGGATTGAACCCACGACCGCCTGCGTACCAGGCGAGGTAGTCAACATCTCTCAGTGTCTGGGATTGAACCCACGACCTCCTGCGTACCAGGCGAGGTAGTCAACATCTCTCAGTGTCTGGGATCGAACCCACGACCTCCTGTGTAGCAGGCGAGGTAGTCAACATCTCTCAGTGTCTGGGATCGAACCCACGACCTCCTGTGTACCAGGCGAGGTAGTCAACATCTCTCAGTGTCTGGGATTGAACCCACGACCTCCTGTGTACCAGGCGAGGTAGTCAACATCTCTCAGTGTCTGGGATCGAACCCACGACCTCCTGTGTACCATGCGAGGTAGTCAACATCTCTCAGTGTCTGGGATCGAACCCACGACCTCCTGTGCACCAGGCGAGGTAGTCAACATCTCTCAGTGTCTGGGATCGAACCCACGACCTCCTGTGTACCAGGCGAGGTAGTCAACATCTCTCAGTGTCTGGGATTGAACCCACGACCTTCTGCGTACCAGGCGAGGTAGTCAACATCTCTCATTGTCTGGGATTGAACCCACGACCTCCTGCGTACCAGGCGAGGTAGTCAACATCTCTCATTGTCTGGGATTGAACCCACGACCTCCTGCGTACCAGGCGAGGTAGTCAACATCTCTAAGTGTCTGGGATTGAACCCACGGCCTCCTGTGTACCAGGCGAGGTAGTCAACATCTCTCAGTGTCTGGGATTGAACCCACGACCTCCTGTGTACCAGGCGAGGTAGTCAACATCTCTCAGTATCCGGGATTGAACCCACGACCTCCTGCGTACCAAGCGAGGTAGTCAACATCTCTCAGTGTCTGGGATTGAACCCTCGACCTCCTGCGTACCAGGCGAGGTAGTCAACATCTCTCAGTGTCTGGGATAGAACCCACGACCTCCTGCATACCAGGCGAGGTAGTCAACATCTCTCAGTTGTCTGGGATTGAACCCACGACCTCCTGCGTACCAGGCGAGGTAGTCAACATCTCTCAGTGTCTGGGATTGAACCCACGACCTCCTGTGTACCAGGCGAGGTAGCCAACATCTCTCATTGTCTGGGATAGAACCCACGACCTCCTGTGCACCAGGCGAGGTAGTCAACATCTCTCAGTGTCTGGGATTGAACCCACGACCTCCTGTGTACCAGGCGAGGTAGTCAATATCTCTCAGTGTCTGGGATTGAACCCACGACCTCCTGTGTACCAGGCGAGGTAGTCAACATCTCTCAGTGTCTGGGATTGAACCCACGACCTCCTGTGTACCAGGCGAGGTAGTCAATATCTCTCAGTGTCTGGGATTGAACCCACCACCTCCTGTGTACCAGGCGAGGTAGTCAACATCTCTCAGTGTCTGGGATCGAACCCACGACCTCCTGTGCACCAGGCGAGGTAGTCAACATCTCTCAGTGTCTGGGATTGAACCCACGACCTCCTGCGTACCAGGCGAGGTAGTCAACATCTCTCAGTGTCTGGGATTGAACCCACGACCTCCTGTGTACCAGGCGAGGTAGTCAACATCTCTCATTGTCTGGGATTGAACCCACGACCTCCTGCGTACCAGGCGAGGGAGTCAACATCTCTCAGTGTACGGGATCGAACCCAAGACCTCCTGCGTACCAGGCGAGGTAGTCAACATCTCATAGCCACTGCGGCAAACAAAGACAAAGGTCCCCGTGTAGCCTCTAGCAGGCTGTAGGGGCAAGTGCTGTTAGTGTAGCGGTAACAGCAGCGCTGCCTATGAAGGCTACCGGCACTGTGGCTACACACACAGAGGGGGTGGGTGGCCAGCACCACCACGCCCGGCCGCCTTTGTCTCTCCCCCAGTGCTAGCGATGTTGCCCCTGGTGGTGATGAATTGTGTTTTTTGTTGTGTAATGTGTGTGTGTCGTGTGTGTGTGTAATGTGTGTGTAACGTGTGTGTGTGTAATGTGTGTGTGATGTGTGTGTGTGTGTGTAATGTGTGTGTGATGTGTGTGTGATGTGTGTGATGTGTGTGTGTTGAGTGTGTGTTGAGTGAGTGTGTGTGTGTTGAGTGAGTGTGTATTGAGTGTGTTGAGTGAGTGTGTGTTGAGTGTGTTGAGTGAGTGTGTGTTGAGTGAGTGTGTGTTGAGTGTGTATTGAGTGAGTGTGTGTTGAGTGAGTGAGTGTTGAGTGAGTGTGTATTGCGTGAGTGTGTGAGTGTTGAGTGTGCGTGTCTGTTGAGTGTGTGAGTGTTGAGTGTGTGTGTGTTGAGTGAGTGTTGAGTGAGTGAGTGTGTGAGTGTGTGTTGAGTGAGTGTGTATTGAGTGTGTTGAGTGAGTGTGTGTTGAGTGTGTATTGGTTGAGTGTGTGTTGAGTGTGTGTGTGTTGAGTGTGTGTTGAGTGAGTGTGTGTTGAGTGAGTGTGTGTTGAGTGAGTGTGTGTTGAGTGTGTGTGTGTGTGTTGAGTGTGTGTTGAGTGAGTGAGTGTTGAGTGTGTGTGTGTGTGTTGAGTGTGTGAGTGTTGAGTGTGTGAGTGTTGAGTGTGTGTGTGTTGAGTGTGTGTGTGTGTTGAGTGTGTGAGTGTTGAGTGAGTGAGTGTTGAGTGTGTGTGTGTTGAGTGAGTTAGTGTGTGTTGAGTGAGTGTGTGTGTGTTGAGTGTGTGTGTTGAGTGAGTGTGTGTTGAGTGTGCGTGTGTGTTGAGTGTGTGAGTGTTGAGTGTGTGTGTGTTGAGTGAGTGAGTGTGTGAGTGTGTGTTGAGTGAGTGTGTATTGAGTGTGTTGAGTGAGTGTGTGTTGAGTGTGTGTTGAGTGTGTATTGGTTGAGTGTGTATTGGTTGAGTGTGTGTTGAGTGAGTGTGTATTGCGTGAGTGTGTGTGTGTGTTGAGTGTGTGTGTTGAGTGTGTGAGTGTTGAGTGTGTGTGTGTTGAGTGTGTGTGTGTGTGTTGAGTGTGTGTGTGTTGAGTGAGTGAGTGTGTGTTGTGTGTGTGTTGAGTGAGTGTTGAGTGAGTGAGTGTGTGTTGTAAGTGTGTGTGTTGAGTGTGTGTGTGTTGTGAGTGTGTGTGTGTTGTGAGTGTGTGTGTTGTGAGTGTGTGTTGTGAGTGTGTGTGTCTGATGAGTGAGTGTGTTGTGAGTGTGTGTGTTGAGTGTGTGTGTGTGTGTTGTGAGTGTGTGTTGTGAGAGTGTGTTTGTGTGTTGTGTGTTGTGAGTGTGTGTGTTGAGTGTGTGTGTGTTGTGAGTGTGTGTGTGTTGTGAGTGTGTGTGTGTGTTGAGTGTGTGTGTGTGTTGTGAGTGTGTGTGTGTTGAGTGTGTGTGTGTGAGTGTGTGTTGTGAGTGTGTGTGTGTTGTGAGTGTGTGTGTGTTGAGTGTGTGTGTGTGTTGTGAGTGTGTGTGTTGAGTGTGTGTGTGTGAGTGTGTGTTGTGAGTGTGTGTGTGTTGTGAGTGTGTGTTGTGAGTGTGTGTTGTGAGTGTGTGTGTGTTGTGAGTGTGTGTTGTGAGTATGTGTGTGAGTGAGTATGAGTGTGTGTTGTGAGTGTTGTGAGTGTGTGTGTTGTGAGTGTGTGTGTTGTGAGTGTGAGTGTGTTGTGAGTGTGTTGAGTGTGTGTGTGTTGCGAGTGTGTGTTGTGAGTGTGTTGTGAGTGTGTGTGTTGTGAGTGTGTGTTGTGAGTGTGTGTGTTGTGAGTGTGTGTTGTGAGTGTGTGTGTGTTGTGAGTGTGTGTATTGAGTGTGTGAGTGTTGAGTGTGTGTGTTGTGAGTGTGTGTATTGAGTGTGTGTGTGTTGAGTGTGTGTGTGTGAGTGTGTGTTGTGAGTGTGTGTGTGTTGTGAGTGTGTGTGTTGAGTGTGTGTGTGTTGTGAGTGTGTGTGTTGTGAGTGTGTGTATTGAGTGTGTGAGTGTTGAGTGTGAGTGTGTGTGTTGTGAGTGTGTGTATTGAGTGTGTGTGTGTGTTGAGTGTGTGAGTGTGTGTTGTGAGTGTGTGTGTGTTGTGAGTGTGTGTGTTGAGTGTGTGTGTGTTGTGAGTGTGTGTTGTGAGTGTGTGTGTGTTGTGAGTGTGTGTTGTGAGTATGTGTGTGAGTGAGTATGAGTGTGTGTTATGAGTGTGTGTGTGTTGAGTGTGTGTGTTGAGTGTGTGTGTGTTGTGAGTGAGTGTGTGTGTGTGAGTGTGTATTGAGTGTGTGAGTGTTGAGTGTGAGTGTGTGTGTTGTGAGTGTGTGTATTGAGTGTGTGTGTTGAGTGTGTGTGTGTTGTAAGTGTGTGTTGTGAGTGTGTGTTGTGAGTGTTGAGTGTGTGTGTGTTGTGTGTGTGTGTGTTGTGAGTGTGTGTTGTGAGTGTGTGTGTTGTGAGTGTGTGTTGAGTGTATGTGTGTTGAGTGTGTGTGTATTGAGTGTGTGTGTGTTGTGAGTGTGTGTTGTGAGTGTGTGTGTTGTGAGTGTGTGTGTTGTGAGTGTGTGTGTGTGTTGTGAGTGTGTGCATTGAGTGTGTGTGTGTTGAGTGTGTGTGTGAGTGTGTATTGAGTGTGTGAGTGTTGAGTGTGAGTGTGTGTGTTGTGAGTGTGTGTGTTGTGTGTGTGTTGTGAGTGTGTGTTGTGAGTGTGTGTGTGAGTGTGTTGTGAGTGTGTGTTGTGAGTGTGTGTGTGTGTTGTGAGTGTGTGTGTGTGTTGTGAGTGTGTGTTGTGAGTGTGTGTTGTGAGTGTGTGTGTGTGTTGTGAGTGTGTGTTGTGAGTGTGTGAGTGTGTGTGTGTGTTGTGAGTGTGTGTGTGTGTGTTGTGAGTGTGTGTTGTGAGTGTGTGAGTGTGTGTGTGTTGTGAGTGTGTGTTGTGAGTGTGTGTTGTGTGTGTTGAGTGAGTGTGTGTGTGTTGTGAGTGTATGTGTTGTGAGTGTGTGTGTGTGTTGTGAGTGTATGTGTTGTGAGTGTGTGTGTTGTGAGTGTGTGTGTGTTGTGAGTGTGTGTTGTGAGTGTATGTGTTGTGAGTGTGTGTGTGTTGTGAGTGTGTGTTGTGTGTTGTGAGTGTGTGAGTGTGAGTGTGTGAGTGTTGTGAGTGTGTGTGTTGTGAGTGTGTGTGTGTTGTGAGTGTGTGTGTTGTGAGTGAGTGTGTGTTGAGTGTGTGTGTGTTGTGAGTGTGTTGTGAGTGTGTGAGTGTGTTGTGAGTGTGTGTGTGTTGTGAGTGTGTGTGTGTGTTGTGAGTGTGTGTGTGTTGTGAGTGTGTTGTGAGTGTGTTGTGAGTGTGTGTGTTGTGAGTGTGTGTGTGTTGTGAGTGTGTGTGTGTTGAGTGTGTGTGTTGTGTGTGTGTTGTGAGTGTGTGTTGTGAGTGTGTGTGTTGTGAGTGTGTGTGTGTGTTGAGTGTGTGTGTTGAGTGTGAGTGTGTGTGTTGTGAGTGTGTGTGTTGTGAGTGTGTGTGTGTTGTGAGTGTGTGTGTGAGTGTGTGTTGAGTGTGTGTGTGTTGAGTGTGTGTGTGTTGTGAGTGTGTGTGTTGTGAGTGTGTGTTGAGTGTGTGTGTGTTGTGAGTGTGTGTGTTGTGAGTGTGTGTGTTGTGAGTGTTTGTGTGCTGAGTGTGTGTGTGTTGTGAGTGTGTGTTGTGAGTGTGTGTTGTGAGTGTGTGTGTGTTGTGAGTGTGTGTGTTGTGAGTGTGTGTGTGAGTGTGTGTGTGTTGAGTGTGTGTGTGTTGTGAGTGTGTGTGTGTTGTGAGTGAGTGTGTGTTGTGAGTGTGTGTGTTGTGTGTGTGTTGTGAGTGTGTGTGTTGTGAGTGTGTGTGTTGTGAGTGTGTGTTGTGAGTGTGTGTGTTGTGAGTGTGTGTGTGTTGTGAGTGTGAGTGTGTGTTGTGAGTGTGTGTGTGTTGTGAGTGTGTGTTGTGAGTGTGTGTGTGTGAGTGTGTGTGTGTTGAGTGTGTGTGTGTGTTGTGAGTGTGTGTGTGTTGTGTGTGAGTGTGTGTGTGTTGAGTGTGTGTGTGTGTTGTGAGTGTGTGTGTGTTGTGAGTGTGTGTGTTGTGAGTGTGTGTGTGTGTTGTGAGTGTGTGTGTTGTGAGTGTGTGTGTTGTGTGTGTTGTGAGTGTGTGTGTTGTGAGTGTGAGTGTGTTGTGAGTGTGTGTGTGAGTGAGTATGAGTGTGTGTTGTGAGTGTGTGTGTTGTGTGTGAGTGTGTGTTGTGAGTGTGTGTTGTGAGTGTGTGTGTGTTGTGAGTGTGTGTGTGTTGTGAGTGTGTGTTGTGAGTGTGTGTGTTGTGAGTGTGTGTGTTGTGAGTGTGTGTTGTGAGTGTGTGTGTGTTGTGTGTGTGTGTTGTGAGTGTGTGTGTGTTGTGAGTGTGTGTGTTGTGAGAGTATGAGTGTGTTGTGAGTGTGTGTTGTGTGTGTCAGCCCGCGTTCTCTCACCCGCACTCTGCGCCGGGTTAATGCCAATGCCATCTGCAGGAGAGAACAACAACAACAACATCAACAACAACATCAACAACAACAACACCAACAACAACAGACGCCATTAACTCGCCGCTCGCAAACAACACTCGCCCCAAAAGCCGGGGGCACTGTGCGTGGGCAGGGACCGACGGGCAGCCGAGGGACGGCCGGGCTCCGTGTCGGTGATGATAAATTGAGAATATCCGTCGACGGCAAAAGGAGGTTCCAGTTTGTTGTTTTGTTGACTCCTCGGGTTCAGAATCGCGGCGAGAGAGAAAACGCTGCGTCTCTCGAACCGGCCACCGCCGCCGGCGGCAACCGAAGGCACCGCCAATTGGTAAGTTTGGTAGTCAGGACGGTTCTCGTCAGGTAAGCAAAAGGCGGGAACCCTGTTCGTAATGCCAGGAAACCCGTCTCGGGCGGTAATTCCGGAAGAAATCCGGGCGGAAATCCCGACAGAAATCCGGGCAGAAATCCCGACAGAAAATCCGGGCAGAAATCCCGACAGAAAATCCGGGCAGAAATCCCGACAGAAAATCCGGGCAGAAATCCCGACAGAAATCCGGGCAGAAATCCCGACAGAAAATCCTGGCAGAAATCCTGACTGAAATCCGGGCAGAAATCCCGACAGAAATCCTGGCAGGAATCCCGACAGAAATCCCGACAGAAATCCTGGCAGAAATCCCGACAGAAATCCTGGCAGAAATCCCGACAGAAATCCTGGCAAAAATCCCGACAGAAATCCCGACAGAAATCCCAACAGAAATCCCGGCAAAAATCCCGACAGAAATCCCGACAGAAATCCTGGCAGAAATCCCAACAGAAATCCCGACAGAAATCCCGACAGAAATCCTGGCAGAAATCCCAACAGAAATCCCGACAGAAATCCTGGCAGAAATCCCGGCAGAAATCCCGACAGAAATCCCAACAGAAATCCTGGCAGAAATCCCAACAGAAATCCCGACAGAAATCCCGACAGAAATCCGGGCAGAAATCCCGACAGAAAATCCTGGCAGAAATCCTGACTGAAATCCGGGCAGAAATCCCGACAGAAATCCTGGCAGGAATCCCGACAGAAATCCCGACAGAAATCCTGGCAGAAATCCCGACAGAAATCCTGGCAGAAATCCCGACAGAAATCCTGGCAAAAATCCCGACAGAAATCCCGACAGAAATCCCAACAGAAATCCCGGCAAAAATCCCGACAGAAATCCCGACAGAAATCCCGACAGAAATCCTGGCAGAAATCCCAACAGAAATCCCGACAGAAATCCCGACAGAAATCCTGGCAGAAATCCCAACAGAAATGCCGACAGAAATCCTGGCAGAAATCCCGGCAGAAATCCCGACAGAAATCCCAACAGAAATCCCGGCAAAAATCCCGACAGAAATCCCGACATAAATCCTGGCAGAAATCCCGACAGAAATCCCGACAGAAATCCTGGCAGAAATCCCGACAGAAATCCCGACAGAAATCCTGGAAAAAATCCTGGCTAAAAATGATGAGGGTGGTTGTTGTTGTTGTTGTGAGGGTGGTTGTTGTTGTGAGGGTGGTTGTTGTTGTTGTGAGGGTGGTTGTTGTTGTTGTGAGGGTTGTTGTTGTTGTTGTGAGGGTGGTTGTTGTTGTTGTGAGGGTGGTTGTTGTTGTTGTGAGGGTGGTTGTTGTTGTTGTTGTGAGGGTGGTTGTTGTTGTTGTTGTGAGGGTGGTTGTTGTTGCTGTGAGGGTGGTTGTTGTTGTGAGGGTGGTTGTTGTTGTTGTTGTGAGGGTGGTTGTTGTTGTTGTGAGGGTGGTTGTTGTTGTTGTGAGGGTGGTTGTTGTTGTTGTGAGGGTGGTTGTTGTTGTGAGGGTGGTTGTTGTTGTTGTTGTGAGGGTGGTTGTTGTTGTTGTGAGGGTGGTTGTTGTTGTGAGGGTGGTTGTTGTTGTGAGGGTGGTGGTTGTTGTTGTGAGGGTGGTTGTTGTTG